AACTTGTGATGAGAATATTGAAAGTCTGGCTACAGCAAATACTAGGTGAGAATTCTACGGATCGTTCAAAGGTTCTCCGAAGACTACGGTTGACTCGTATTAATCCATGTTTTTCATGTGTTTTATTGATTCCATGTTCAGCTCCAGTGGAGGTGATTAGTAAGTTCACATCCCTGAGAATTGAGTCTATAATATTTATTAGAAATTTTCAAGATGGATGGATGCGCAATAGGAGCTGTAGTGCAACCGCCAAAAATTAAAATTCAACAAATTGGTGAATGCGCTTTTTGTAATAACCAAATTAATGATCGATGCGCTGACATTTTATTCAAATTGAATTTATAGCACACAGAATTACTTTTACTAAATTGATTTCTCATCATCTCAATTTTGCTACATGAGCATAGGTACGAACTAAAAAATATATTGATAGCAATTATTCTTATTACATAACCAGAGTAGTAATTCACAATTTACACACACAAATTAAATTTACATACTCAACAAAACTGAGAATGAACGAACACATTGAGAATCTTCGAAAGCTGGTTGATCCAATTCAATAATTATTATTCAATCAATCAGCTCGGCAAATTCTAAAAATATGCCGTTGTCAAATTTTCAAGTTCCAAATATTTACGGAAACATACGAAAAAAACGGAAATTTAAGAAAATCATTTTTTTTTGTGTTATTTGGTGGAGAATACCAAAATTAAGAGCACATTCATATTGCCACTTTTTCCCTACTATCCGTTGACATTTTCAGATAATCCTTGCTATTATTAATGAGCGAGAAGTAGTAGATTGTTTTATCAGGATCAAAAGTGAGACTTCCCAAATTAAACAGAATTTTGTTTGCTTTCTGAGCACACACCTATTATAAATCCTGAGAGGACATTGGAATCTCAACTAAGGCCATTGCTGATGCCTTCTCTAGATATTTGTGGTTTTTCAAACAATTCGATAACGAAACAATATCGGTTCAGTAGGAAGAGTACGAATTTTGAAAAAATCAATCACTTAGGGGAACAAAATCTGCTTGAAATAATCATGAATTGTAAGCTGACATTGCTTAATTGGTTTGTTGATCACTTTGGGAAAAATTCTAAAGTTAGGCACCGAAGATTTTCGCGATATTCATAATACCTATATGAATCAATTTTTATCGAGATTATTAATCCATTTAAGGCCTTTGAAATGTCGAGGCGCGCCCCTGAATAAAGAAGTCATAAGTCTGTTTCCATTCTTCGTTCGTTTACGCAGCCCCTAGAGACGCTACTGTGGCTTCCCGGCACAGCCGAAACGTTGAGAGAAAACTCCCGGCCTAATGAATGCAAATTGCCTATTTTGCATTTTGAACTTGCAATCAAGCAAAAGGCCGTATAAATATTCATATGACGGTCGGAGAGAAACGGGCGTGCGAAAGTTTCACGCAGCTTCCCCCCCCCCTTTTCCCCATCCCTCTTTCAGGACTCTAGCGGTATGTTCTGCCGCTGAAAAAATATGTTCTTTCTGACGAGTGGTCGTTAAAAAACCGAATTACTTCGATGCTCCTTCAGGTCTGACAGTGTTATTCTTGAAGTGTTTATTCGGGGCACGAGACAAATTCCATCTATTTATTTCATCATGGAGTTTAACACAATCTCGAAAAGAGAAAGAAAGGGTTTTTTACTCACTCTTCTTAACTCTTCTTAACTCTTCTTCACTCTTCTTCACTCTTCTTCACTCTTCTTCACTCTTCTTCACTCTTCTTCACTCTTCTTCACTCTTCTTCACTCTTCTTCACTCTTCTTCACTCTTCTTCACTCTTCTTCACTCTTCTTCACTCTTCTTCACTCTTCTTCACTCTTCTTCACTCTTCTTCACTCTTCTTCACTCTTCTTCACTCTTCTTCACTCTTCTTCACTCTTCTTCACTCTTCTTCACTCTTCTTCACTCTTCTTCACTCTTCTTCACTCTTCTTCACTCTTCTTCACTCTTCTTCACTCTTCTTCACTCTTCTTCACTCTTCTTCACTCTTCTTCACTCTTCTTCACTCTTCTTCACTCTTCTTCACTCTTCTTCACTCTTCTTCACTCTTCTTCACTCTTCTTCACTCTTCTTCACTCTTCTTCACTCTTCTTCACTCTTCTTCACTCTTCTTCACTCTTCTTCACTCTTCTTCACTCTTATTCACTCTTCTTCACTCTTCTTCACTCTTCTTCACTCTTCTCCACTCTTCTTCACTCTTCTTCACTCTTCTTCACACTTCTTCACTCTTCTTCACTCTTCTTCACTCTTCTTCACTCTTCTTCACTCTTCTTCACTCTTCTTCACTCTTCTTCACTCTTCTTCACTCTTCTTCACTCTTCTTCACTCTTCTTCACTCTTCACTTTTATTCACTCTTTTGCGCTTTTCTACACCTTCATCACTCTTAAGGTGGATTCATGCAAGCAAAATTTGAAACTTAAATGAATTTCAAATTTAAACCAATAATTTAAAACCCTAAAACTATGAAATTTAATGTAGGTGCTCATGCAAAAAAATAAAAAATTAAAACTAAAATTAAAACTAAGATGGCCTACATTCAACTAATAAATTAATTTCTTCCATAATTCACTTTCCGTTTACCATTTCTCTTTCTTCCTATTCAATCGATATTATGATCATTCAAACCTGACTTGTTGCGATTACAACTTCTCTATATTCCTGTAGGGATGATGAATGGCCACAGGATGGTGAAACAAACAAATGATGTCGAAACAAAACCCCACATCCCGACTAGATAAAAAACCGGCGCATTAATCATTCGAGAGCGAGGGATATCTAGCGGCATCAGCCATTGGCGCGTGCAAAAATTAAAAATCGCTTCTGGGGGATGTAGGAAAAACGACGTCCGCTTATTTCCATAATAATTCAAAACCGATTTGGAAAACCTCAATCGGTGCACTCGCGTGTCGGGTCTGCATTCTGCAATGAATGCGAATAGTGGGAAAAAGTTGGGACATGGGGGAAATTGATTTATAGAACATGTAAATTGAAGAACGCAAAAACAAGTGTGGTTAGCAGTGGCGGATCGTCTAGAACTAACATAGCATTATTTAGTCAATCTGACTTTGGCAATGAAAATTTTCGGAATTTTATTCGAAAATATGGAAGAGAATGCAATTTCGTAGGAGAAGCACCAAGTGATGAAACTCGTAAAGATATTCTAGTTTTCAAGAATAACCGAATAACCAAATTCAACTCCAAGATTTGATGTAGATGTCCGAGGATGTCAGATAGTCCATTCAAGACATCGTCTGTTCAGATTACTCCATAACCATAATAGACATTATTATATAATTGTGACATTGTGTCAGTCACATAAGAGACTAAATTTCACCACCATGATAAACCATACAGGGTGGACATAAAAGAATTCTATAAATACTTTCAACTTCAACACCCTGTATCTCGCAAACGAAGCCTTCTACGATTTTTGTTTATAGAAACTTTTTTATTTTCTTGAGACGACCTATCACTTCTCGAAGTGCGTCCCTCATATTACGAAACACCCTGTATATAATTATTCATGTAGATATATTCTGCACATAACGAAGACGTACATTTGTTTCCGAGTGACGGAAGTAACTGTTCTTTCGCTTCACAAATTGTTTTAGACGAGTGAAACACTATACTTTTTCTACAACGCCGTTTATATTATGATAATAATAGTAGATTGTTTTATTAGGATCAAAAGTGACACTTTGTTTGACAAGCGAATTTTGCATTTGCGAGGCGGAGCGTTTAGCGAAGCCGAGCGAAAGCAAAATTTGCGAGTCGAACAAAGTCCCTTTTGATCCGAATGAAACATGCTATTTTTTCTGCAACCGAAACAATTAAGTCAAATAAACATGTGAAGTAACCACCAATGCCGTGCCATATGTATGCAATGCAACAAATATTGACAAATAATCCATGTGGTGAGAATATTCTACCTGCATTAACAGCAGGTTAGATTTTCAAGGATGTTCGAATTGTAGTTTCAATATAAATACAACCACAGAGTGACATATTTGTGTATGGACCAGGTGCTCTAATGGCAAATACTGCGCCAGTGCCAGCTATAGGAACAAGACGTGGAAAATGTTAGGTTAGTGAGCATATCAACAATGATAATATTGATAATAGTGATTATTTATTCCTCTCCATACTACACTGTGTTTGACTTGATAATCAAATGAAGCTAAACAATATCGTTGTTTGAGACAAAAAAACTATTGCTTGCCGTGATTATTCAAAAACAAGTTATCCATCCCAAGAATAACGAATGAAATACAGATCAAGCAAGTATTTGAATCTTGAAGGCTTCCCTGATCAAAACAAAAATTCTTAGCTGAGATGTTTATAATTCCAAGACTAAACTATAATAAGGTGTATTTATATCTCCAGCATGGGTATGAAATGCCAAATCTGCTGAAATCGGAATCAAATGAGGTATGCGTCTCAACCCAAATAACCAACCGTCACAATGTTGTTTATTCTTGATGATGTCCAGTACTTCCTTTTTAGTTCCTAGGAGCTTAAGTTCAACTTTAGCTCCTAGGAACTAAAATCCAACTTTAGCTCCTAGGAACTAAATATGTTGCCTAGCAACATACCTATTTTTGTGTCAGTAATAGAAACGTCAATATAAGAGCTAATTTTGGTATCAAAATGGACGACTTTTGTGTCGGTTGCAGAAAAATATTTTTTTACGTAGGTTGAAGTTCGAACAGTCAACAGAAATATCCTCATCTCTGATTAGGTACAGTTCTAAAGAAATAGAGGATAGTAAGTTCAACCAAAAATTGCCAATATTATAGAAAAAAATGAGCTACTGACATTTTCCAGTAATCCAGCGCCGTTCATAAGCTGACAGATCTTGGGTCAGTGAACAGACAACTGGGTTTTCTTCCAAGAACGACAACGGCTGAATCTAAGCTATTTTGACATCAGTCCAAACGGTATCATACATAATTCCATTTTTTTTTCAGTGCCACCAAGTCTTCAAATTCTACCTCCAAATGGCCAAATAGTCACGAGGAAAGGAGGTCCGGTTTCCTTCGAATGCAAGGCAAATGGGAATCCCCCACCCACAGTCCAATGGTCAAAAAAGGTGAGTGTAAGGCAAAAAATATTTGTTTCTTCAAATTAAAAAGTCTAATTTTCTCGATCATACCGTGATTTTTTTTTCACTGATTTTTTCCTCAAATATAGAAATAATGAACCTTTCAGTCGACCTCGTATCAACGAGTGTCTTCAATGTTTATGAAATTTGTCTATTGATGCATGATTATAGTAGTATATGAACATTATTATAGGCATCTCATTTCGTGCGCCTCAAGAGATGAAAAAATAGGCAACCAAACATACACCGCGTCTTTTCGCTGTTGGCACTATAAACTATATAACTTACGGATTCTGTATTTAAATCGATTCCATCGATGATTTTACGTTAACAGGTAAAACAGGTTAACGTTCGGAAGTTTGTGAACCGATTTTGATCGCTGTTTTCTAACAATAAGAATGTATTTTCCATGCATGTTGATTATTTCGGCAAATGTCAAATGTCACTAATGTCATAGACAAGTTGACTTTCAGGGCTACTGGCACAAAAATATTTGTTATCTAGATTCAGAGAGAGATGTATAAAAATTTAACTGGTGCGCTTGCTCCCTATTGAAGGTCGTTTGCAAGTTTCTCGATGGCGCCTACTCTGATAAACCTTTGACAAACATACTTGACGTGGGTAAATCTCGCTAACCTCATCCTGGTTACAATCCATATTTACAGGAAACATATTATTACCGACCGATAAATATTGGGATACGTATATGATTTGGATCAGAGCAGTGAACTGATTCCTGATTAAAGGATCGAAACGTCAATATGTCAAAAATATTCTTGAGTTGAAAAAATGGTTATTTCTGAGATTGGGGTCAAGTGTTCGTTAGGGACATGTTCCGTAGTTTCTGAATTTTGTGTATAATACCTAATCCACCATAGAAAAAAGAAAATCTCTGTTCTACAACAGTATTATTTCAGTGATTTGAAATATTAGAGTGAACTGGTGTGAATAAATTCTAAGGTGAGTATACCAGTTACCATATCTGCCTATTATGATTTTCGATATTGGTCTATTTCAATAGTCGATACATTCTTTGTTCTGGTTCTTCAAAGAGGAAATTCATCAGATTTCATGCTTTAAATAGGTTCATGTCATGAAAGAAGTGAAGCTTATTAAAATCGGCTACAAAAAGGAATTCTTGCTTCTATTTCAAATTGAAATTTGAATGAAAATGTTGAGCACAGTATTTATTCGACCACAGAACAATGATGGAAATAGATTCATCCCTCACAGAACCAAGGTTTTGAACGATTTTCCGATTATGGCGCCTCTATCGCAAATACCTGAACCCCACGTCCAAAACTCGCTTGCAATTGTTCCATATCGAGAGTTAGTCTGACGAAACAATTGAAGAGTGAGCCCACCAGTTAAATTTCTATACATCTCTATTCAGAGTTCTGAAAGGTTTGCCAAAACTCGTCCCACAATCGAACTGAACGTTACTGGTTTTCAGGACGGTTTGCTACCTTCAGGCCATCAAGTTGAAACTGGTTACCTGCTCAATTTGAACGATGTCAGAAGACAAGACGGAGGAGTCTATCAGTGCACTGCTTCCAATGGAATTGGACAGCCAGTTACTGGGGAAATCAAACTCCACGTGCTCTGTAAGTTATGGAAGAATCAATGTAGTTATCCAGAAACGACACAAAAGTCGTATATTTTAATACCAAAATCAGCTCTTGAATGGGCGTGTACACCTTAGTAGAACTTTCAACTCAAACCATGTTAATAATGATCCTTTTATACATAAATAATGATTGACGACATACTTCGATCGAAAAATTAACTGGATTTTTTTATTTTTGGACATAAATAATAGTACCTTCCGAAAACGGACCCTCTTATGACGTAGAAACCTCATCTCGCCATAGTTAAAAGAAAATACGAAAAGCCCGACGGAGACTGAGGCAACTGATATATTAATTCTTTCAACTGTGATCTCGCGCTAATTCACTCTGTCAGAAATCATGTATCATTCATATCTGTCTGGGATAGTCTTGTTTCAGTATTAGGGTTTTGACGTCACATCATCGCCTCGTTTTCAGAGGTCCGAAAAATCGGGGATTTCAATGATTTTTTATAAAACGTAGGGAGCTCACAGCAAGAAACGGTTCGCGGTGGTGAGCTAGTTTGGATAAGTTCTATCGAATTATGAAATAATTTTTTTTTGTGATAAAAGCCCATTGAAGTTTCTATTCGTGACGTCAGATTTTACTGATGGTGAATATCAACCGAAAAATTCTAAAAAAATATGAAATTGAAAGGTATTTTAGTGATGATTCTACTTAAGAAATGAAAAAAAATTAGTCAATCAATGTTTCTAGATCCTCCAGAGGTCAGTGTGCTCAGATCGTGGGTGAATTCTGGAGAAGGCTTGGAAGCCAAGCTGGATTGTGTAGTTCATGCAGATCCACCAGCTGAGGTAAGATTTTGTACAAATATTTTTCGTCGACTTCTACAAAAAAAGACATTTTACTTTCTAATTTCCGAACGAAAAACCGACTATTTCCGAGGGCTACGTGTGACTATAGATGGTAGCGCCATACAGTGTATGTCGCGATATCTGTATCCTACCTTAGAGCTCTGCCACAAGATGGCTACAACATGACTACAACTTCATGTTATACCCTGCGTATTCATTATTGATACATACATTGTAAATAGAATATTATATTCAAAAATACAAACTTCACTACGAGTTCAAACTATCATTGAAGTAATACAGGAATGTTTGGAATTATGAATAATTAAAAATCAATTATACTTACAAAATGTCACAAATCAATTTATAAAATATGAAGCTCACTTCTCAACATAGGTGTACATTTGTACAAGTAATAGTACTGAGCACTGAGAAAGCTCGACGTGTACTATCGAATGGCACTAATAAAAACAATTTAGGGATCAAAATAAAATTTGAGGTTATACCCCATTCTCCACTCAAAGTTCTACACTGTAGCAAATCTGACGTCACCTCTGTTCAAATTTCCATGCGGTAGGCACAATCACGCAGAGTTCAATCATTCAAATTGTTTCAAAGTGGCGTAATTGATTTTTTTGTCGTATTTTGTTCAATTTTTGGGATGAAATTTCTCGTTAATTAAAAGAATTAGAAAAAATCTGATATCATGGGATCTGTTAGCCTTTGATGAAGAGGTTTGCGGTTTGCATCACGAATTTATTGTCAGATTCTTCATAACTTCGAAACTCTCAAATATCATTTTGATAGTTTCAGATATTTCAATCATCTACCATGAAAGTTAGACAGCATAACTGATATGTCTGAACCAAAATGGAATGGTAATAAAATTATGAGTCTGGAGATTAGACATTTAGGAAGATTGGAGTTGTAATTGCCGCTGGAAACGTCGGAACGATCAAGATATGCTCTCAAAGTCTTATTGCCAAATTGCAATTTCCATTTCATTTCGGTAATATTATAATTAATTCCTGGAATGGAGAGAAAGCAGTTATTCCATAGCGGTTCAGTGGCGTAACTGAAGAAGACCACATTGTAAATGAATATGAATATACGATGTACTGTTGAAGTTTAGAACAATTTCAATAATTCCATTATTGTCATAAGTCAGAAGTACGGCAAAATATTGAAATGATCAGAACTTGGTAAAATGCGAAGATAAATGTAAGTTAAGAGTTTAAATAAGTAAATAAAAGTGAAAAGCTCACAGTCATTTCCACCCAGTGTTCATAAAAAAATATGAACAACAATGGTAGATTTCGGGAGAAAAACAACTACTTCCCTGGCTAATGCCACGCAGGATATTGAATTACATCCTCCCGAAATCTATGCATCGACTCGTTTAAACGAATACTGATACAAGTGATTCTTTCCTGAATGCCTATTGATTTCGATTAAGCTAGGCCGCTAGACAACCACAGACCGGTTTCGAGCTCTTTGACTCTCATCAGTGCAGTGTAGTCTCCAGCCAGCAGTCCTAAGACCGCCGACTCAGCGAAGCCTAGCCAAACAAAAATCAAGTTGGCATTATATCCACCCCGAGGCGTCTTTCATCGATAAAATGAAAGTAACGCCATCTGAGTAGAACCGAGGAAAGAATCACTCCAAAACTGAAATTCCCATACGGGAGTGGCTGGCAGCCCGACTGGCGTAATATGAACTACGAAATAGCCACAATGCTCACAGTGGAATGAAATAGTAAATTGATGATGAGAGTCAAAGAGCTCGAAACCGGTCTGTGGTTGTCTAGCGGCCTAGCTTAATCGAAATCAATAGGCATTCAGGAAAGAATCACTTGTATCAGTATTCGTTTAAACGAGTCGATGCATAGATTTCGGGAGGATGTAATTCAATATCCTGCGTGGCATTAGCCAGGGAAGTAGTTGTTTTTCTCCCGAAATCTACCATTGTTGTTCATATTTTTTTTATGAACACTGGGTGGAAATGACTGTGAGCTTTTCACTTTTATTTACTATTTCATTCCACTGTGAGCATTGTGGCTATTTCGTAGTTTAAATTAGTGTTTATGATTTTTTTGGGATTTTTGGACAATCAGGAAAACAATTTTTCGACACTAAACATTCACGTTCAGGTAACGGTGACTTTGTCGTCAGTCATCAGTAGTACTTTCGGATATCGCAATGCGGCGTTGCCAGTTCTCTCTGTACGGCTCAGCGATTTCAGAAGGCTGTGGCACCTATAAAGCTCTCCGACCAACAGATGGCTGACGTCGAAAGTAGGCAACACGTACGCTCTGACTATCAGGAATGTGCAATTTGTTTTCATCTCATATAGTTACCGAGTAATCATAAACAAACATCGAAATTCGCCTATACACTAAACATTCACGTCAAAGTATCGGTGACTTTGTCAGTCATCAGTGGCTCTATCAGATATCGCAATGCAGCGTTGCCAGTTCTGAACAATTTCAGAAGGCTGTGGCACTTATAATCTCCGTTCACGTTCAACAGGTGACGTGGTACCAAGACTCGTTCCTGTTGCAACCGACCGACAGATATGGCTGACGTCGAAAGTAGGCAACACGTACGCTCTGACTATCAGGAATGTGCAATTCGTTTTTATCTCCTATAGTTACCGAGTTATCATAAACAAACATCGAAATTCGCCTACACTAAACATTCACGTTTGTCGTCAGTCATCAGTGGCTCTATCGGATATCGCAATATTCGCAATGCAGCGTTGCCAGTTCTTTCTGTACAGCTCAACGATTTCAGAAGGTTGGGGCACTTATAATCTCCGTTCACGTTCAACAGGTGACGTGGTACCAAGACTCGTTCCTGTTGCAACCGACCGACAGGCGGCTGATGTCGAAGGTAGGCAACACGCACACTCTGACCATCAGGAACGTGCAGCTGTCCGACTTCGGCAACTACAGCTGCGTGGTCTCGAACTCCATCGGGAAGGACAAGCGGTACATGGAGCTGTCGGGCAAACCCGGCCCCGCCAAGGTCATCAGCGGGCAGTACTCCAATCCGCACGAGTACGACCTCAAGTGGGTGGTGCAGTCCGTGTTTCCGGTAATCGAGGTCAGGATATTGTACAGGAGGATAATGGTGAGTTAGAGCCATGTAACTATATAGATTGCCTCAATTACAATGAATGTCCAACAGTTGACCATTCATCACTCACCTGATCGTTGTGAATATCATATACTTCATGTGACTGTCTTTTGCGCCGCCGAAATTTTCATTTATACAGTCAAAACGCGACGAACAGTTTCGTAGTGATGATTGACGGAAAAACTATCTTGCATTCGATCTAAGTGAATAAAAATGTATTTTTTTGTTTTCTTGCAGTCCAACTCATCTTACCACCACCCTGGTCACTGGCATGACCTATTGGTGAAGCCTGCACAAACTTTCAACTCAGCCACAAGCGAGAGGAGCCAAAGGTACTTTTTTCATTTAGTCGAATCCGAGGTCAGAACTTTATAACTTGAACTTGAAGTGACAGTCAAAAGCACTAGAGTTCCAGGAAACACAAAAACAATATAAATTAACAATAAAACATTGTTTCATTAGGTACATAGTTGGTGGCTAGGTGATAAACAACTAAACTGCGAGTATCTAAATAGTAAAAAGTGATATAGTAATGAATAAATTGCGAACTAATTTGAAACATATACCTACTAAAATAAAAAAAACACTTTGAGGATAATTATTCTTAATCTTATCCATCATTCAATCAGTCTTGCTTCAATTCACTTCACTTCACCTAGTTTAGTAACTTTGGCACCAGGGAATCCTGGGATAACATTATTTTCAGAATAGGTAACATATTTTTGGCGGGTTATTTTTCATTGGACAGCAATCCCTACTTTATTGAAGTTTCGATGTTCTCGATGATCGTTAAGGTTTTGGTGCCAGCCATAGACTACCAATTGGTAGTCTATGGTGCCAGCAACGTATTGGCATTCCAACTGAAAACGTATTCTACCTTGAAATTTCATATGCCATATATACCCCGAACATCTCATCCAAATTCCTCGCCTAAAAACTTAAGTCACAAGTCACTTGATGTTCGGAAATATGAGCAGGAGTAGGATACATCACGAGTTCTAAATGCACATGCTCCTTATGGGATCCTGTTCGGTCTCGTAAATTGATGAGCTCTCGTCTTATAGCATTAGCTGTCTAAATAGTAGGTAATGGATAGTAGGTCCGCCACAAGAGCCAATACGATTCAGTTCTGTTCAGCCATCGACATATCTCGGCAATTCTCGCAAATTCAAACAGCAATATAACAGGTCAAAATATTTCGCATATCACCTCCATTTTATTTGAGTCTGTCACAAAGTCACGCAGCTATTCTTCCATGAAAGCCATCTCTATAGCACAGAAAATATGGATAAAACAGGAAATCGAGATCAACAATAAATTGAAATGGCTCTACATCAAACTAACTTCTGTGCTCCATAATACTGAACTGGATGATCTGTTTTCTTCTCTCATATGAATTGTGTGAAGGACCAAGGTAGGATGAAGTACTCAACACTGAAAGATAAACTGAACCGTTTGAGTCTAAGTTTCAACTACCACAGCACTGTGAATTCACAAAAAACGTAGAACCATTTTTCCAATCATAAGTTTCATTCTAGGGTATTAAATCTTTCTGCTTGTGAATTTTCTGAAAAAAACCCGGTGCTTATTTGCACAATAATTATATTCAAAGTTTGTTCATAGTGTTTTTTTCATTCCCACGATCTTTGGTTTGTAAAGATGAAAGCTGATGATGGTCACATGACTGTCCGAGTGTCCGATTATAAAACATTGTGGAGATGATTTTGTGTTTTCCAACCCTCTCATTAATGAAATTTATTTCGAAGGTACCGTCTGACTGACCTGCAGCCCGATTCGGTGTACGAATGCCTGGTGCAGACGAAGAATCAGCACGGCTACGGAGAGCTCTCCGATCTCCACCAGTGGTCGACGTCTTCGAGAGGTCGCTTCATAGTGCAAAGCGGTACCACCAGAAAACGGTGCCATCTAACGGTGTTGATTATGACTATGGTCGCGGTTTTGTCGAAGACTCTCTAGAATTGAGGTTGAACATGCAGAAGTTTGGCGGTGTTTTTCGTAACTTCCAGTATACAGTGTCATTCATAAAGTCGGCATCATATGGGAAAAACTTTTATTAATGACTTATTTTGGAATTCGAGTTGTACGTTGAGTTTTGCTTCAGAAAAGATAAAAAATGGCCTACTCAATCGGGGTCACGTGACTTTTGCTACATGTCAAAAGTGAAATTTTTTCAAATTAATCGCTGAAAGTAGGCTTATTTGTTCGAATATCGAAAAAGTTTACTTGAAAAAGTTGTTTCTATTTCAATTTTACACATGCTTTCCGAATTTGATCTTTCTATTGCAACTTTTAGATTTTTTTTTTTTTTTTAATTTTTCGAAATTTCTGTAATATTTGAAGAATTGTTAATTCCACGAAACTACTTCATACCAGTAGCTTTTTCATGCTACTCACTTTCGATAGTTTCAATTACTTATTATCACTGATTATGGACAGAAATATGATTTTCTTCAGAAAATGATAATACCCGCTTCCAAATTCTGTTATGTTTGATGCAAAGTTGATATATCGTCAAGCATTTAGAAACGAAATTCATTTAAACTGATCTTTTCAGTACTGAAAAAATAAATTCAAATGAATTTCGTTTCTAAATGCTTGACTCAAACATAACAGAATTTTGAAGAGGAGATTATCATTTTCTGAAGAAAATCATATTTTTGTTGATAATTATTGATAATTAGTAATTGAAAGTTAGTAATATGATGAAGCTACTGGTATGAAGTAGTTTTATCGAATTTACAATTTTTTTAATATTACAGAAATTTCGAAAAGTTGAAAAAAATGTCAAATCCGAGTCACATATGTAAAATTGAAATAGAAACAACTTTTTCAAGTAAACTTTTTCGTTATTCGAACAAATAAGCCCACTTTCAGCGATTAATTTGAAGAAATGCCACTTTTGACATGTAGCGAAAGTCACGTGACCCCGATTGAGTAGGCCATTTTTCATATTTTTTGAAGCAAAACTTGACGTCCAACTCGAATTTCAAAATAAGTCATTAATAAAAGTTTTTCCCATATGATGCCGACTTCATGAATGACACTGTATAGATAAATACAAAAAGCTCAAAGTCATTTCCACACAATGTTCATAAAAACAACAACAACAAACAACAACTTTCCTGGTTAATGCCACGCAAAATATTGAATTACATCCTCCCGAAATCTATGCATCGACTCGTTTGAACGAATACTGATACAAGTGAATCTTTCCTTAATGTCGATTTAGCCAGGCCACGCTGGACACCTACAGACCGGTTTCGAGCTCTTTGACTCTGCATGCAGCCAGTAGTCCTAAGACCGACTGCTGGCTGGAGACTGCCCTGCACTGATGAGAGTCAAAAAGCTCTAAGCCGGTCTGTAGGTGTCTAGCGTGGCCTGGCTAAATCGAAATCAATCGGCATTCATGAGATATACTTGGCATTAGCCAGGAAAGTAGTTGTTTTTCTCCCGAAATCTACCATTGTTGTTCATTTTATGAACATTGTGTGCATGGAAATGACTTTGAGCTATTTGTATTTATTTAACATTTCATTTCAATTTGAGCATTGTGACTATTTCGTAGTTTCTGTATATAGGCAAAGGTGAACTGGCTCGGAAAATTCTCAATATTATTGGATGACCATTGGCCACATATGGAAGGATTGAGGGTATAGCAACAGGCGAACGAAATGATCAATAAAAGTTACGTACAAAAGAAAATTGTGTCAGTTTTTGTTGGCTATTGATTTTTCTCAATAAACAAAATTGCAAATATGTCCTGTCTTACTTAGCATTCTACACAACCATACAGAGTGTGTCACGACAAGCTTACACTATCTTCATATCCAGAATCAGTCGGGAGAAAAAAAAATGCATGCTCATATTTGAGAATACTTTCTCCTCATTTGAAATATTTTCGACAATGCAGTGTTGCCGCTTCTACTAGAAAGTAGTAGCAACATTGATATTTCATATGGAACACCCTGTATTCATGGATTTCTAGATTCTCCCTGAAGAGCTGATTTCATCGATGTATCCACACTTGGGGTCTATAAAAAAAGATATCAAAATCGAGATTTTTCAACTTCAGGATTTGTTTGTGTGAAAGCTCATTATCGGTCAAAACGGTTCATATGTCCCTATCTCAACTCTTGATCCACTATTTACACATATTTAATCGGAACAGATACAGGGTGGTTCAAGATTCCTATTAAACATTAGTAAATAGTAAATCAAAAGTTGAGATTGGGACATGTGAGCCGTTTTGACCGATAATGAATATTTTCGACACGAACAAATCCTAAAGTTGAAAAATCTCGATTTAGAACACCCTATATCTCTGTAATCATTTCCGATAGACCTCAAGTGTGATGTATCGATGAAATCAGCTCTTAAGGGAGAATCTAAAAATGCAATAAAATACAGGGTATTCTATTTGAAATAACAAAGTTGTTGCTACTTTTTGATAGAAGCGGCATCACTGCATTGCTGAAAATATTTGAAATGAAGAGAGCGTGTTCTAAAATATAAGCATGCAAATTTCCATGGATTTCTGCAGACAGGTTCACGATATAGAGATAGTGTAAGCTCGTTGTGACATACCCTGTATAGAAATAATAACGTTTTTATATTTTTCGACATATTTGTTGAATATTCGCTTCATTTTTAAAAGGTGTTTTTGAAATAAGCACACATATTCATCACATTAAAATGATACTGTCTAACGAATATATCCATAATACCAGATTTTTCATAATTCTTTATAATTTAACGAGAAATTTCATCATGAAAATTGAACAAAAAACGACAAAAAAAATAAGTACACCACTTCGAGACAATTTAAAACATTGTACTAGACGTGAATGTGTCTTCCGCATGAACACTTGTACAGAGATGACGTCAGAATTGCTACAGCGTAGAACTTGGGGTGGAAAAAGGGGTCTCACCTAATAATTGTTCAAAAAACACTACAAATTGGTGATTTTTGATATACGACGAAGCAACAAATAAGTACCAAAATGATTGAATTCGAAAAAAATATATTTTCACACCCCGAACAAAGTACTTAATTTTGCTTTCAATATACAGTGCATTTTGACAATTCTATTCATTATACACTATTTCATTTTCCGCCAGATTTCGAATTACCTCGTATATTTCCAAAATGTGCCGCGCCATTTCACTCGAATTTTGTATTTGTCTCGACCATTCTTATTTCATTAGGTGAATAATGTACTTAATATAGCAGGGATCTGAATTTGCCGAAAACAAGTTATAATGTACAGGGCCTAACAAGTTCTGAAACTTGAAATTACATTAACCATTTTCCCAAAACTGTGATTTAATTTTAGTGTAATTTGTGTTAACAGTGGCTGTCACTGGATCGGGACCAAAATTGTCCTCCTGACAACGCCACTGTTTGTTGCTAGAGACAATGTCATTCAAGCAATTGGCATATGATAATAATGCAAAATCAAAATTCGAACTCGAATTTCTGACTGTGTCGATAGATACAATGTCCATGGTATTATGTGAGTTTTTTTATAAAGATTTTATGGAAAGAAGAAATATACGCATAAAGAATATGTGGACTATATGATGGTATAAAATTTACCTACATAGTGTTCACGTATATGCTGACCCTTGCAGTATGAATAAGAGAAAATTACTATCATCAGTTCTTTTTATTGGTATACCATCTATACCTATACATCAGGTTTGTTCCAAGGGGGGGGGGGGGGGAGTAACTCGTGGCGAGGGAGTGATAGGAAGTAAAAAAGCACCGCAGGCGACATTTTGTTGTTGTTCAAGGTCAAATGCCTTTAAATTGATCGTTAGGTTGAAATTCAAATTGTTTTACTCACCTGAAAGATTGAATTTCGTATAGGCAAAAAAATCAAATTATGAATTTCAAAATAAAAAAATGCTTCAGTGTAATATTTTGTAAGACTATTCAATGAATAAGTAAATCACATTATCGTTGATGGTTCTTTCGTCAGCAAGTTTGAGAAAAATTGATAGAAACACCATCAAATATTTGTTTACAATTTTGATTGTCATGCATATGCTCTCGAGAGTCTCAAGTGTAAAGTATCCGCTTTATCGCTGGAATTGAATTGTCAAAGTGAAAAACGAACTTGCAGTTTTGGCCAAGGTTTTGGCATTTGTCAGTTTCTAGTAAGAAATAGACGGCGGAATAGATCAGTTATGGTTGAGCACTCGATTAGCAATCAGAACACCGGAAGGTTGCTAGGTTCGATTTTCCGCAGAGCAGAGAATTTTTATTCATAAAACGAATTATGAATTCTAATGTGCTGCTCCTAAGGTTGCGTATGGAGTTAGTAGCAAAGCCTACACAGAACACATATGGGCTGAAGGACCTCTCGTGAGGTCGATGGCCAGTTGGCATGCATGTACATACATACCTACCATAGATTAAATCGTTGATCCATGTACATATACCAACGAAGTACATATAATAATAATAATAATAATAAATCGTCATTATTCATCATTTGCAGAAAAAAAATTGCACAAATAAAAACATATACAGGGTGTTTCAAAAAACCTAACCCCCTTGCTAGGGTAGGTAGAACATTGCAAAATTAGTTGGGTTTGTTCTGTGAACAAATGTCGTAGCGGCATCCGTTTTCATGATACAAGGTGTTGAAAAAATTATTTTTTTACACATTTTTCACGAAACTACTGGCAACATTGTAATGAAATTTTGTATGGATGTTTTTTGAAATTTGACACATCGCATGAATTTGTTTTTATATCTGACTCTCATAGAGGGCGCTAGTTACACGGTTCGTACCGATCGAGTAGTTTTTCGAGGTTAGATTTTTCAATCCAAATATGATATGAACTTGAACATCATTTAATTTTACACCAAAAAGGTACTCTTGGTGAAACTCGTTACTATGTTCCGTTTTCGAAATATTTCGATTTGAAAATAATGGAGTAGTAATGATGCTGGTATAAAATGAATTTTATTGAGTTCAATTACCTATTTACTCAGGTTCAAAAACAATAAAATTATTCTTGTGCTGAAGTTATAGATGGAGCCAAGAATCATAAGTAGACAATTCAGAGATATTTGACTAGAAACATGAAATATTGAATCAGTTAGAGTAAGTGTTCAAAATGTCCTACGTTTAGAGGAATACACGATTCTATATTCTTTTTTTAAGAATGAGTTATTTTTTTTGAACAGTTGAGGATCAGCTCAGGTCATTTAAGTGATGTTCAATTATGTCTCACAACTCTTGACGTGAATTTCCCTATGTAGCATAGACTTCCTGCTCAAGATACGATAAAACTTTGTAATCCATGTTCTTATTCAAATCTGTTTCGATGTTATTCTTGTGATTCATTGTTAAATCAATGATCATATGATTATTCGTTTATACAACCGAATATGGTAGAAAAATATCTTCCGAGTCGTTCTGGCAAAATAAATATTTTGACACATCACACTTGGCGTCAAAAACATATCATTTTTGACAGATTGACAGCGCGGAATAATGAAGGTTAAAATCCCAATGTGACAAAAAAATGAGTGACTTAAAGCATATGGAAGAATTTTGACATTATCGTATCAAACCTGGTGTCGAATCCCAGTATGAAATATGAAAAAGATATATTCAAAGTGCTCTATTTCAAGAACATGGATGTACTTTTCTCTTATTTGTATAAAATTCTTTATTTTTATAACAGAATCCCATAATCTGATTATAGAAGATGTTTGCTATCTACGATTATGAACTAACACAGAGAAGGTCAGATACGTGAACACCCGACATACTTACCGATAAGAAAACATAGATATTGTAAATTAATAAATTATTCGAAATAGTTATGATCGTTTCATTTCTTTCTATTTCATATTATAGTATATAGGGTTTAATGATCATCATGTTCATGTGGGATCAAGAGAATATACAAGGTGTGTCTAATTAACGAGAAATTCCATCCCAAAAATTTAACAAAATACGAGAAAAAAATCAAGCACTTATTCAAAACAATTTAACTGATTGAACTCCGCGTGATTGTGCCTACCGCATGGAAATTTGAACAGAGGTGACGTCAGATTTGCTACATTGTAGAACTTTGGGTGGAAAATGGAAAAAGGGATCTCACCTCAAATTTCATTTTGATCCCTAAATTTTTTATTACTACCATTCGATAGTACACGTCGAGCTTTCTCAGTGTTTGAAATATTTGCACTCATTTCAATGCCACTCTGTATGTTTATAGTTGTCCTATAAAAAAAATTACTGCGGAAAATTTATCACTTTTCAATACAAAGAAAACCCACGGTTCTGTCGAAAATAATGTACCTACGTACAGTCGTCTTCAGAGAACATGTCGCACATGGACGGTGTCAGCTCTCTTAATCACCGCTGCAATGAGAGCACGCATACCGACCAACCGCGACATGTTCACTGAAGACGAGTGTACCTACTATAACCTGCCTAAAGTTGAAAATGCTAAAAATAATTTTTGTATTTGATAAAATTAACTAATATAAAATCAAATCAAATGAATACAAACAATTTACTACAATTTGTAATTACAATAATTATCTACCGCTGGAATCAACTTCCTCCGATATGCTTCTATATATTTTATTTTCATGTTACTGTTACCAAACATCACTTTGGTACCTTCTTCCACGAAAAACAAATCCAAATATACGACCGTAAAAATGAAACCGTAAAAAGAATACTTTTCCCAATGTTCTAACAAGGATGAAAATGGGAAAACCTTGCTGGCATCGGTTCCCAAGGCTTCAAGATTTTTAGTGAGTTCACGATGATAGAACTCTAACAACTCACGGAGTTCGTTAAGATTCTCGCCGGCCACCTGGTACAAGAAGTATGACAGGTCTAGAATAGGTGAGTGTTGAAAAGAAAGTTGCCAGTCCAAGATCATGACCTTTGTTGGGATTCCTTCCTGAAATGACAATTTATTGGGAACACAGTGTACAGGGTGTTTCTTGAGTACGTGTAGAAAATTCAGGAGCATGTTGCTGACGTCAGAATAAGGAAAACAGTTCGTATACATACAGGCTGATCCACGGTGGATGGCCTATTAGAAGTATCTGGAGAACGAAAAGACAGAACATTCTGAAAATTGGAATGCTTTGATAATTGAACATTCTCTATCCGTCTAATATATTTTCATCGATACAGTGTTGCCACTTCTATCAGAAACAACTAGCAACTTCGTTATTTTAAATAGAGCACCCTGTATTTTATTGCATTTTTAGATTCTCCCTGAAAAGCTGATTTCATCAATGTGTCACACTTGGGGTCTAGCAGGAATGATTACATAGATATAGGGTGATCAAAATCGAGATTTTTCAATTTCAGGATTTTTTGTGTCGAAAGTATTCATTATTGATCAAAACGGCTTACATGTCCCTATCTTGACTTTCGATTCACTATCTACTGACATTTAATTGGAACAGATACAGGGTGATCAGAATTCTGAATCTTGAAGCACCCTGTATTTTTTCCAATCAAATTCCAGTAGATAGTCAATCAAAAGTTAAGATAGGGACATGTAAGCCGTTTTGATCGATAATGAATAGTTTCGACACAAATAATCCTAAAATTGAAAAATCTCGATTTTGAACACCCTATATCTCTGTAATCATTCCTGCTAGACCCCAAGTGTGATGCATTGATGAAATCAGCTCTTCAGAAAGAATCTAAAAATGCAATAAAATTCAGGGTGTTCCATTTGAAATATCAAAGTTGCTAGTTGTTGCTGATAGAAGTGGCAACACTGTATCAATGAAAATATTTTAGACGGATAGAGAATGTTCAATTATCGAAGCATCCTGATTCTCAGAATGTTCTGTCTTTTAGTTCTCCAGATACTTCTAATAGGCGATCCACCGTGGATCACCCTGTATATGTCCGAAAGTTATTCGTTTCTGAGATACAGAGTGTCAAAGTTGAATTCTTATTTCTATTTTTTGTTAATATATTTCAAAATAACTGTGAAACACGATATACGAATGAAGTTGGGTATCTAGGGGTATTTTTCAATGTTTTTCAATGACAATAATAATATCAGATTTTATGTTAGTTTGTCTCTTTCGTGGGAGTGGCGCCACCTACATGTCTTTTGAGTCTTTTGAAGTCATAACTTTTTTGTGCGTACCTGTATCACTTTTTTATAGTAGAAAAATAGATTTCTATTAAAACACTTTTGTGTGAAAAATATATTCCTGGTAGGTAGAGGTCGCTGCGAGCAACTGTTTTCGAGTTATTGGAATTTGAAATAATCAATATGACTTACACGGGATTATGCGGAGTCCAGACCACTATTCCATATTATGCACTTCAAGGACTTCAAAGAGTACTTTCAATCCCTATCTTCAGGAAAAAAGTGGTACCTTGAATCCCTAGGGATTTAAAGTACATTTTCAATCCCTATAGAGATTCAAAGTACCACTTTTTTTCCCGAAATCTAGATCACCATAATTACTGAGGTTGCTGATATGGTGCCAATCAGTCCCTTCGATATAACGTTTTAGAAATAGAGTACCTATACCGTGTATAGTGGCATTTATTTTTTTTTTCGTTATTTTTAAACGTTTAACCTATCCTAAAGTATACACACCTCAGGACTAAAGTGTTTTTGAATCCCTCGACAAATTATAACACTCTTTATTACTTCATTCTGCTCTCCCTCGTATTGTCCAAAAGATATTGAAAGTACTGAACGACCACAGAAGTTCGCATACGAGTTTTTTTTTAACCTCAACACCCTGAATTTCAGAAAATGAACCAGCTGGTATTTCGTTAAGAAATTCGAAAGTTTAAAATAGGAGATGAAAACCTATTTTTTTTATGAAAGAACGGCAGCTAAAAGTTTTAAAGGGCGGCTGGGTGAAATCTTGAATTGTTTTTTCAAATGGAACACTCCGTATATTATTCCATTTACAAAATCCACTTATAATTCTCAACAATTTTAGCCAATACACTTCTCTTGTTCGATATTTTTCAATATTAACGTTCGAAAAGTGGCATTTTGGTCATTTAAACCATGATTTAAATCAAAATTATTTCGAAAAAAAATCGTTGTCGTTGTGGCGGTGACACCTTAATTTTTTCCAAAGCAAACTTGATGAAAGCAACATTCGATAAATGACCAATATGTCACTAGTCAAACGATAATATTTCGAAAACTATCGAATTTAGGGGGTAAAGTGTATTTGATGAAACAGAATTATGAGAAAACTTCGAAAATGGAATAACATTTGGGGTGTTCCATTGAAAAAAAATATTCCAAGATGCGCCCAGCAGCTGTATTTTCAGAACTTTAAGCTGTCGTTTCCCGATATACCATCAGGTGGCACAGTATGTATAATGTATATTCCTGATATAGGGTCATGCGAATTCACACCATAGACTGAAAACTTACCTCATATCTATACATGAAATTATTACTATGACAGTCTCCATGTATTATAACTGATTGCTCAACTTCATCACGCAGAATATCAACCATCATTTCCTTTACTCCTCTATCTACAACTTTTTCGAACTGGTCTGCCAAATCCTCTCTCGATGCTTCCCTTAAATTCTGCGATATTTTCGCTCTAACCGACGAATAGTGAGAGCCATTAGTAATTCCTTCAGAATGACAAAAGAATTTTTCGGCTACTGCCTTGAACTCTTCGGGTCTTTGATCACGAAAAGCAAAAGATAATGCATGGAACTTACTGTACTGTTCCAATACCAATCGAATATGTCGTACGTCCAATGAAACCATTTTATCATGAAGTTTGTAGCCTAATTGATTCAAATCTTGCAAAACCAAGACTATCACAGATGCATTATCAACAGAAGTGAATGTCTTGTAACATTTGGGAACAGCATCATCGAAGGGTGCTGTGATATTTTTGTCCTGTTGAAATTTTTTCAAAGTTGGGAATAGCTGTTGATATACCAGAACTTCTCGTTCAAACAACAGTTTCAAGAAATCATCGCTCGCTGCATGCCCAAACTCTTTGCTTGCTTTGATAGCTAGACGAATGTCCTTTTTATCACCCTTCTGGTCCACTCCTGTAGCTGTGGCGAACAACATGTCACTTGCAAACCCATTGTTTTTCCCATCAGAAGATCCATTCAGCTGTATATTTAAGTTGGATACATTTTCGTTTTCTAGGGACTGTCTTATCCACCCTAGGACGTCACTCGAATCAAATTTTTTCGCCTCAAATTGCATCTCTAGTTTTAACATTAATTTGGTAGCTAGATAAGTAGGTATAACTACTTAAAAATCTATTTTATTTCAGTAGGCATCAAGATTTCGTCATTTGGTGTTATCTGTCTGCTTTAATATATGATAATCTATGAGATGGTGATGATAAGAAGACTAGAAAAAATCAACGAATACCTCAATGTAGATAGTATTGTTTTGTGAACAATCAGAGATTTAATTTCATTGTCAGAGTCTATAGGTACCTATTTCATTATCTATTCATAGAATATATAGGTATTCATATTCATTATTCCAGATTTTTTGGGAATTTCTCTCCTCGTTTCAAGAAAATAAAAATATGAGTATTATTTCAATATATCGGGTGGTCACAAAAAAACCGGAAGTTTTTATTTTCCTCGTGGTTTCATCATTTCTCAACCGAATTCGAATTTCTTGGCGTCGTTTCATAGCTTAAGGGCTATAGTATACAGTGGAATATTTGAAAATTTCATAATGAACAAAAACTAAATGACGGATTCTACCAAAGTATTGTCATTTACAAAAACCGCTGGAGAAAAAGAAAATCAGATTTTTCCCAACCTGTACCGATGTCATCTTAGGCTATTCATTTCTGAAGAGAATGAGTACTCGAACATCGAAATCGAACAAATAGTCCAGTAGATACACTCATTTCTTTGCAATTTGTTATGGAGTGAATGTGCTAATCTCGTATAAACGATTATTATTATTTTGCTTCAGGCTTCATGAAAATTCGATCAAATTTGGATTTCTTAGAGTTATTTCAAAGATAAAGAGTTGTAGTATACAATGGAACATTTGAAAATCCAATAATTGAAAGAAACAAAATGGTGGAGGATCCAGAACTTTTGTGACTTTCAAAAATCTCAGGCGAATAAAAAAAAATGTATTCTTCCAATCAGGACCGATACAATTTTAGATCATTGTGTACTACAGTTCTTTATCTTTGAAATTACTCTAAGAAATCCACATTCGATTGAATTTCCATGAAGCCTGATTTTCAAATGTTCTATTGTATACTACAACTCTTTATCTTTGAAATAACTCTAAGAAATCCAAATTTGATCGAATTTTCATGAAGCCTGAAGCAAAATAATAATAATCGTTTATACGAGATTAGCACATTCACTCCATAACAAATTGCAAAGAAATGAGTGTATCTACTGGACTATTTGTTCGATTTCGATGTTCGAGTACTCATTCTCTTCAGAAATGAATGGCCTAAGATGACATCGGTTGGAAATAAATCGATTCTCTTTTTCTCCAGCGGTTTTTGTAAATGACAATACTTTGGTAGAATCCGCCATTTTGTTCTTGTTCATTATGAAATTTTCAAATATTCCACTGTATACTATAGCCCTTTAGCTATGAAACGACGACAAGAAATTCGAATTCGGTTGAGAAATGATAAAACCACGAGGAAAATAAAAACTTCCGGTTTTTTGTGACCACCCGATACGTGTTGTGAGGACGAAATTGGAGATAATGGCGATCTCATGGCCATGCTAACGTTCTGTTAATAAAACTCATCATCCAATTGGAAATATGTTGTTTTTAGACATAATTCCAAGAAGTCCTGTATTCCTTCGATACTCAGATTAATTCTCTCAGTGAGACTTTCATCGTCTTCTAATTTACTATTTGTAAAGTTTTATTTATTGGAACATTTGTGAATAAAGATATCATTTTTGGATGTATGACAAATTAATATTCATCATACAGGACTTGGAAAAAAATTATAAATTGAGAAAACCTAATCACCAATCTGCGATTGAAAGTCTATAAAAAAAAGTTGACAAGGAATTCAGATTTTGAGTAATAATTGATGAATTATAGAGTAGGTAGGTAATACTAATAAAAATAGAAAATAATATTGCATCTAGAAGCTGTTTGACTCAGCTTTGACTATTTTTTCAAATTATTTCGCATTTTGTTTCTGTAATCTTTCAACAATGTCGGCGATTCCTGTCATGGAGTAGGACAGGAAATAGGTGAACCTTTTTCATTTTGTAAGTATTTCACGACAAAATCATGTGGTTTCTGAAATTTTTCAAACCCAAAAAAATCATGGTCCTTATGTATAATTTGATTCTTCATAATATTTGAATACATTGAAAAGGACTTCAGATTTTGAGTAATTGATGAATTATAGAGTAGGTAGGTAATACTAATAAAAATAGAAAATAATATTGCATCTAGAAGCTGTTTGACTCAGCTTTGACAATTTTTAAAAATCATTTCGCATTTTGTTTCTGTAATCTTTCAACAATGTCGGTGATTCCAGTCATGAAGTAGGACAGGAAATAGGTGAACCTTTTTCATTCTGTAAGTATTTCACGAAAAAATCACGTGGTTTCTGAAATTTTTCAGACCCAAAAAAATTATGGTCCTTTTTTTTCTATGACGGGAAAAAAGTTTGACATCTCATCTCTGTTGACATGTTATAAAATATCACTTTTCAAAAATGAGTACTTTTTTCCCTGATTTATATATACACTGTTGATGGCTTTTGTTGAGCTAGTTTCCAAGGCAGGTTTCCAGTTAAAAACTTCAAATTTCATGATGATATTTTTCTGATTTCAATATAATGTAATATCTTCTCAATATTGGTTCGTCCTTCTGCCTATCACAGGAAAAATAGTGTATTATTGATGGAAAAAATGCTAGATTTTAGCTCAATGTTTTTTGTATCCCTCCTCTACTCGTTGGGAGACAATCGAGGAGGCAACAATAAGACTTCCAGCTGAAATTTAATACTTTTTTCCATGGTATGATAAATACCTAATTAATCTCTCCAAAGGGGAGAAGGATAGCTCAAATTCATCTCCACCCGAGTCTCCACCCTATTTATTGATGTAACAATTATTCAAGGGGACACATATCGGACTTAAAAAAGTAAATTTTCAGCACAAGTGAGAAGTTTATACAAACAGGATCATGAAAAGTACCTAAACTGATATAAGATTAACAAAATATTTTAACTTACATGGAGGTGATAGTTCTTTCATGTGAAATTATAAGAGCCCTTATAATTTCCTGTTAACTGTGTACAGAAGCTCTTAATCTCAAGGTTGATTTAAATGGGGGATTTGGCTGACTGATACTCAACGGGAAGTTTCCACAAGATCTTTATTCTGTAAATTCTGAGGACGTCGAAGGTATGCGAATTTGTGCTACAACTATAATTAAATTTTCTTTACCATGGTATTCCAGGATCCTATATGCAACATGTAGGTTTTCATGTATTGTGCAGCCACGTGCAGATAACAATCATCTATAATATTTTAAATAACTTACCTATAATTAAATTGACCAGGCCTCAAGTGTGAACGTCGTGATACCACTTGTTGAAAACCAACAAGGTTCAATATAAATTTAGTTGAGAGATAATTTTTAGATGAACTCTATGGGACACCAACCATTTTCTATCAAGGTTGAATCAGAAAAGGAGACCTCAGGCACAAGGTACAATTATTGTGAATAAAACATAAGTTACAAAAAATGTGTAGTTTATCCTGTTATTATGCCTTCTCCATTAAATAATTTGAATACTGCTCGCGCCATCAACAGTAACCTCTTATGCAACCAACTATACTCTGATATGCATTAAGTGTGGACAACCCACTTGTATCTCTGAATGATCATTTCTATGCAGGTGACACAACTCTGGTGCGCCTGAAATAGAGAAAATAACACGAAGACGACGAGTCCAGGTGACAAGTGACCTTCGACATTTCGCTGCCATCATTTTCGGCGGGTTAATCAAATAAAGGGAGGTGATATTGTTATTTTTAATATATTTAAATTACTATTATATTTATATACTCATGTCCAAACTAGGCGTTGTAGAAGTGGTGCTATTCACCCGGAATTGGTTTCAGCACAACTGTAAGATGGTTTTGTGGGCTTTTTCCCACAATAAGCCACTCTTTGGGGTCTTGATATTTGGATTTGAAAGGAAATAAAATAAATGCGCTCAGGGCATGGGGCCCTTCATTGATATGAGAACCCAATTCATTCTTTAAATTTCACATGAAATTATGATGTTGGGCATTGGCACCATATGGTAAACTAGTATCATACCTTCCTGTTAGTTGAAATATTTTGTTAATCTTATACATAGTTACTTTTCATGAGCCTGTTTGTAGAAACTTCGGACTTGTTAATTGTTACAACATTAAATAGTGAGGAGATGAATGAGATGATTTTGACTTGGACTTTGAGCTATCCTTCTTCCCCTCAGAATAACTAAATATTTTTTTCCTCCTCTTTATGATATATAATGCAATTTTGCACAGGACTCTTCTGGTGGTTATCATCAGAAAATATATTACAAATATTCATTCAGAAAAGTCAGGGGTGTATAAAACATACAGAGCTGGGTCAAACATCATCAGAACTTTTTTTGTATTTTCAGTCATTAAATATTAAAAACTTATGGTATGTTTGGTATAATACCTATATCATTAGTATTCATCACCAACTATCCATCAAAATAATATATAGGATATAATTTTTAAAACCAAACCCCTTTTGGTACAAATTCAAGAAACAAATAATCAAATTTTACTATAAACTGTATTTGTCTCTCTCCCTTCAAAACTACATTTTTATATAGGCTTAATTTTAAAATGCAGACCAATCAATGAAAACACCAAACATTTCAAGTCCTGAACAAGATAATAGAAACAGCGTAATCCCTCAGGATCCTTTGACTGGCTCACATCAACCAGAGATCCAGTCTTTGAAGTAGTGAAAGAGATGTGCTCATCTTTGATAACTATCTCCAGTTCTTGCCTTCCAATACGATCTGGTGGGGGCCACAGAGAATCGTCCTCCTGCATTATTTCTGAGTCGATTATGATTCTTTTCAGTTCTTCCATGACGCAAGGATGAGTATACACCTCCTTCCTAATCATAGTGTCGTTTTTGTAGTTGGAATTGTTGGCGTACCTCAGTTTACCATCGGGTCGAAACTCGAATTCCAAAAATTCATGACCGAATTTTCCCTTATGGCCTACGTAGTATCGAATGTAGAAATCGGCCATCTCCGGAGTGAAATTGATTAACAAAGCACTAATATAATGAACACGGAAACCAGGAATAACTGTATACAATCTATCACCCAAGCAGAAAACCGAAATCGATTATTTTAACCTAAAATAAAAGCATCACTTCTCTTCTTCTTTTTCAATGCAAGATGAAAAATCGTCTTTCTCGTTCTCTGATTTATTGCTCTTTGCTGGCCTGGGCCATAGCCGAGATGTTTATAATAGCTTACAGAACCACTGACCAAAACTCACTGCCTCATTGGTTGTCCAGTAAGGACAAGAACCCTTATCATTCAAAAAAAGTTTGGCATTTTGAAAACAAGAAGAACCATTTTCAGGTTATAATTTTTTGACATTTCTGTCAAACTCAAAAGTTAACAGCAGAGAAAGTTTGAAAAGCTGTAATTTTCTTTGTTGAAAATGGAAATCGAAAATCGACCACAAGAACTAAATGAACTCAAGGTGCTAGCTCAGAAAAAAATCAAATTTGGAGAAGCACTCTTAATTTCCATAGAAAATAGCAAAACAGTTGAGGGTTCTCAAAAACTAAATAGAAAAATAGGTCAAGAATTGAAATTTCTGAGAAAGGTAACCCTTATTATACATTGGTACATCATTATGGTCATATTTCTATTACATTATTTTCATTTCTTTAGGTCTGTAAAAACAATTTGATCAAAAAGGAACACCTACAATGTTCAAATCTCACCCACTTTTCTGCACTCATCAACACAATGAGAACTCTAGATAACTGTCAAAGTGTTAACAAAGTCTTTGTATTGGAAACCAGGAAAATAACAGTAGATATAATAAGTGATGGAGGCTTAACCTGGACAAAGGTTATTGCTAGGAATCCAAAATCTGTCAGCCAAATTTGCATGGGAAATGCTAGTTATGGAGTAAGAAGCATTATTGATCAAGCTGAAGAATATGTCAGATGTGCTAGTCTTTACCCATGTCTATTTCAAACCCCAAAGGTAAATATTTATTTAAGCAAAAATTAATGGTATAGGTAATGAACTAAAATAACTAAATTCAATTTGAAATTTGCACTCATTAGAGTTCAGCAAGGTAGTTCATGAATCACAATATGGCAATACTATAATTTTAGTGTTGTTAAAAGATGGTGTTTTAGATGTGCTTTTCAGTGTTTATGAAACACCTGGAGAAGACACTAGATAAATGTGAAAATATATTCCAGGATATATTTAATTCTCAAAAATACCTACTTTTTCTTTCCATTATATCTGAAAGTGCCTACTCATGATGGTATTTACTTATGATAACTTTCATCAATCCTGTATCTGTTTGAACCAAGTACCTATAATGACAACCAACTTCTATATTCCAGTTGGTAAAATCCTCACCTGGTATTTTTGTAGTTTCTCTCCTTTGCTGTAGTCCAGGAGTCCCGCCTTCATTACCCATCCATAGGGCATAGAAAGTGGACTGTAGTTTTCTTGAAAAGGATCACTTACACTTGAACTTCAAGGTTTGGATTTTGTAAATGGTTTTTATTTTCTATTTTCAAAAAACCATGAATTGTTTATTAATAATTGATAGGAAATGTCAATGTCAAATATTGAATATTGTCTGTTGAAGTCCGTTCTTCTTCTTTGTTTTCATGGTGAGAGTATAAATTCTGTGATCTGTGCCCTCATTTGAAATTACATTTGGGGTTGTAGACTCAAAATTTTCATATCACTTAGATTTAATTCAAACACAGTATACACCCTCCGTTAGGGTGTATAATGTAATTCAAATAATCAAGCACAATTTACTTTTATGAGCTTACCTCCTCAAGTTCTTTTTTTATCTCTTGGAGAGCACACCAAAGGTCAGCTGGGAAGTTTTGGCTCTTGCACTACTTCTGATGAGATTCAGGAAGAGAACTCTCTGGATGTTGAACTAACTGGTTCAATGTCAGACACTCGAATTATCGCCGATTTGTCCATTAATCGCATTCATTTTCACTTAAAATCATAATGTAATATTGCTGGTTAAAATTACATATAGGGCCATGCTGTATGGATTGAAGTCAGAGGAGAGGACTGAGGAGTGCCTAAATATTTCGAACTATTCCCAGATTCCTGTTTTTTCGATGATTATTTTTATAAATTGAGAGAGGCTAAGTTTGGTCAGAGTTTTATCAAAGAATAGTAGGTTCTCCTCTCCTCTTTGGTTTTATTCTGGTCCAATAATAGTATGGCGTCAGCCCACTGTGATCATTTGTGTAGTGATTTAGGCTTTCAAGGATACTAGCGGATACACAGAAACTCTGCAAATCGTCCCGAGTGTATGAACCAATCAGAACGATTCTATAGCTATGGCGGTGCATTCAAAATGAATCGTGATTGAATCCGAATCTTTTCGAGAAAAGAAAATAGGCTGAAGGAAGTGGAAAATTTCAGTCATATGAAAATATAGTATTCAACAAAATTAAATGGATTGAGTCTATTTATCCTTAACAAACTAACCTATTCCTAATTGCAATATTTTTTGAGGAAGGAAAACCAGAATGAAGTAAATACACATTGATCAATGATAAGTCAAGTTTTTCAACAAAATTGAATAAAATGAGACTGTTTATCCTAAACGCACTAACCTATTCGACATTCGATATTTTTTGAGGAAGCTAAACCAGAATGAAGTAAAGATACATTGGTGAAAAAAAGTTGTTAAAAATAGATTAAGTTCATCATATCATGGACGTATAGCGAATCGAACCTGGGACCTGCAGATTGATATATGCGCGCGCATTCGGGACGATTCGCAGATGGTTTCGTATCCGCTATTTTCAAGGATGTTTTTATTGTTTTTCCTCTTTTCTACGAGCGAATGCGCATGCGTCCATAATGTATTGTGATTCACTGTGATCTGTGACCAATCTGGCAATGAGGTTTGAGAATGATTCGAAAACTTTAGGCTCGCGTCAGTGGGCGCCAAATTTGAATAGGTATAATGCAATATTCTCACTTTTAAAATACCCATTATATCCATATAACAAAATATTATTCTCAAAAAGATTCCAAATGATCAGTAGGTATACGTTTATTTGAGAGTTATGTATTAATTGCGAGGGGCGAACCGCAGACGAAAATTTGTACACCAGACTTCACATTTTCCTAAGACTTCACTGACTTCATCATGACTTCACTGACTCCATCAAGACTTCACTGACTTCATCGAGACTTCTTCAACGTGTACACTTCATTAGCGGTTCGCCCCTCGATTAATTGTAACATTTTGTTTCAGATAGTTTTTGTTTTCACAAATGGCATAAGCAATAAAATTGCCACAAAATTAGAATCATTTGGAATAACAGTTCAAGGAGAAAGAGTGAGTGATTATACAGTCAACTTTGACAATAATTCAGATCTGAGTGAATCTGACGATGAAAACGAATTTGAAACTAACATACCTTCAAGTTCAGCTGAACTGTCCACTAAAAACATAGACAACATCACAAAAGTCAACCTTGATGTTTCTGCAATGTTGGCTTACTGTAGCTCAGTCACTAATGGCAGTGCTAGTTTGTATGATTTCGATGTACCAGTTCTGAAGCAGCAAGCTCAATGGGAAAGACTGCGACCCCAAAAACCCCTATTAGATGCCTTCTTCAAGGGAAAAAAATTGTATTGCTGCCAAACAGCCAAAGATAACTTTGTGAACATTATGGAAACAGTAGGAGGGCTGGAAGAAAAGGTCAGAGCAGAGGATCTGCTGGAAAGAGTTTCTGTTTTACCTGATGATGCTGACGTTAAATTAACTGGAGATGATGGAAGGTTTCAAGATATCTTCGGCAAAGTCCAATACTCGGATGAAAGACTATTGCAAGTGGGTGGAAAAATTAAGAAGAGGTCTCTTGTGATTTTCACATTTGGAGATAAGATTCAAGCAGTTACTGTAACTGCTAATGATGGATTCGTGAGATCTGCAAAGCAACAGGTGCAATATTTTATTTTGATATTGAAAGAGTGGAAATAATGTCTTGCTTGTTTCAGGGCATACATTTTGTTGTTTTTATCCATGAGTCCAGAGCACTTACTGAACAAAAAGAAAGGATAAAAGCCATTCCTATCAATAGGTAAATAACATTTGTACATAATATAATTCTCAACATTAATTTCACACTTTTCATCCATGTAATTTCTACAAATGAGCAACTTCTTTTTTTTATATTCATTATTTTGAATAAAAAAATATTTTTGATATGAATCAAAATTGTGGACTTTTATTTGTACTATATGTCCGCTAAAAGGAGGTCAATCCATCAACCATATATTCCTTGAACAAAAATAATATGAGTTTCTAAATAACGTTTTTCATTTCAGCCCTTCTTATTCGATATACAGGGTGTCAAAGTTGGAAATTAAAATCGGTTTTTTTCTAATTACTCGCGTAATTAATAAGATATTAATCTCAAAATTGGCACATTACTTCAGCACAAAGAGTTACCTACATCGTGTGAGGAAAACTAAACAGAAAATAACTGTCAAATATTCAAAATACTGGGGGTCAAGTACACACTTACCCCCATATTTTTCTTGTACGTGCGCTAATGACTTCCTATCTATTTTTCTTCAAGTGTTCAATCATTTTTGAGTATTTTTTGATTTCTGTTTGATGCCTATGAGGCTTGCGGTAATTTCATAATGTTCCCATACTCCTATTTATTTCGTCGAAATTGGAAGAGGGCGTATCTTTTTACGTACGAAAAGGTAAATATGGAAATACCGGGTGCTCAGAGCGAATGTATTAAAATAATTTTTACACTTTTAATTTTTTTTTCCTTGCCTTGTCAAAATGCTTTTTTTTGTAGAACATTACCTTTCTCTCATGATGATTCAGGATCTAAAAACCAATTTTAATAATAAATAAGATATTTATTTACAGTACAGATTATATTTGTAAAGTCACAATAATACTTCAAGCAACAAAATTTAAATGAGTTAAATTATAGTTATAACAATAATGGGGTTTAATGAAATAGACACAAAAATATTGGAACATTTTCCATCAAAAGTGGACAGTCTTTGATATCCAAGGTATTTGAAAATTAAATGGACATGGAATCAGATCTGCTTTTGTGAAACTTTTAGAACCAAATACATTTCTCAGGAATATCAATTTTGCAAAAATTAAGTTTTGAAATGTTCACATTTTGTGGAGCCGAATTTACAATTTACATGTGTAATATACTAAAATTAAAATACACTAAGTATTTACTTTGTTATAAATCGGAAGTCAAGGAAAGATTCCAAATCTTCTTGTAACTGATAGACAACTTCTTGTATGCTGACTTAGTGCAAGGTAAATACTTTGTTAAAATCAGTAATCATAAAAATATATTAGGATGTCCAATTAATTTTAAACTCCTTGTAAAATTACATCTATACAGCAGAATTTCAACATTCTTTTTGACATATACATTTATTACAATAAATAACTTCATAATTATTCGATATTTGTGAAACTCATTCTGCAAAATTTAATATTTAAATCCTCAGTCTAATTCACAAGTCTCATTTCTATCATTCTTTTTCCGAAATTTCATACTGGTTCTAAGAAAACTAAAGTATTTCTAGTCAATGCCCAAATTGATACTACCTGCTTCTTATGTAGAAGTTATTTGTGGTATTCTCATTCATATTTTGGTCACTCTTGAGTCTTGAAGGACAATCAGAATACAACTGAAAATTTTCTCCAAAAATAGGACTTATTCTTATACATATATTCTTATTCGGAATTCTCACCATCATAATTTGAAGACTGAAATGAAATCTCAACTTCAGGATTTGTGAATCAGGCTGACGATAGTTTCTTGTTCGTCTAAGGCTAGAATGCTGTTCAACTTGTGGTCAGAAAAGAATGAGCTTACGAAAGAATGTTGATAAAAATGTAAGTCAAATAGCTTTAAAAAATATAAATATTCGATATCTTTCCAGGGAGATTCCAAGTTAAATCCAGATGCGGTGTTTACCGAGGCTAGAATTTTTTTTCAGGGACGGTTCTGATTTTTGTCGTTGCTTGGGAGAAAACGTTATTCCATATGCTCATTCTTATTTAAAATTCTAGGAATATGAAAACAGACCCATAGATAGAAAGATATGTTAAAAATTGTAGTTATTGTTTAATTGAAATACAAGCTTAACGTTCTAGAAAAATAGCTTGAAAAATACATCTAACTGAATCACATTATCAACTAACCACGATGCACGATTTTCCATCACAATTCAACAAATATTTACAAAAGTTTAGAAACCACACAGGTTTGAGATATCTTCAGATTCAAATAAATAATTTAATGAAATAATTTAAAACCTCTCAACCACTGGAATATTGATAAATATTTAGAGAAATCTGGTTAATATAATAGTTGTAATCACAGAGTCAACTTCACATATTTCACAAGGAATTATTAATTCCTTTCAGTAACCTCCAAATTATTTTCGCCTATGGTATTGTAAAAGGATCACTTCTTAGATTTCCTATAATCACCATATAAATTGGAGATAAATAAAAATAGTTATACAATTTTCATAAAACTAAATTACTGAAATATGATCTCTATTACCTTCAAACTAAATTTGAATGAAGGAAATATTGAGTCTGTAATATTCAATAAATGACCGCAAAACAAGATAATGAAAGTGGGGAAATGACTCTATTAGCAATTCAATATTTTAGTGGTCATAGAGGAATGCATAAAATGTATGAATACATAAAAAAATTGTTTGTTCCGCATTATATTTTATATTCAGAATTCCCAAAGCCTATCTTATTCACTTTGAGCAGTATCAGAATTCTCGCAGATTCACCACATAAAAAATTCACTAGTCACATTTTTATAACAGTCATCCCGATTGAAGTATCATAATTCGCCGCAATTTGATTTCAATAGTAGGTCAGGTGGTAAGTCAATGATATAACTTTACCCAAGTTTTCCCGAAAAACAAAATCGAGTGGTTTTTATACATCAATAATTATAATTCACCACAGACCAGCTGATACTCCCCCAAGATAGGTGGGTGAAAAAAACAATAACTTGTTAAATTATTGCGCAAATGCCCAACTCAGAAGTAAACGTACCACACGCATTATTTTTTGTGGAGGTGTTATTTCAAATAGTTTGAGTTATGGAATTTATTCAGCGTATGTTATCAAAATATATCAACATTTTATCTGAAAAAGTCGGGGAAAAGAACGGATAAATTTTGAGAAAATATGAAATTCAATGATTTCTAGATCACACAAAATGGAGTAATATTCACGTAGTTGAATCTAATCAGAGTTTTAGTTCCTATGTACCTTGATGGATTCAATATTTCTGTAATTATATTAATGTTCCTTAAAATTTTAGAAAAGTTTTAAGATCACACCATACAAAAATCATTTTGTCCAATCATCAGCACCTTATTTTTCCTCCTCATTTGCTACTGAGTACTGAAACAAGATAGATGGAGGAGTTGAAACATGGTGTAGAATTTACTAGAATTCTAAAGAGCATCTCTATATCGCTCTGGGAAACAAAAGCCACTAAATTCTCTATTCGGGTCAAATTGAGATAACCAAGAACACACCTCAAGGTGAACATTATTTCATAAACCACCTTTCAAGTACAGGGTGATTGTTCATATTTTACTCAATAGCTATCTCAGTTAATATTGGTCTAACAGAAACGTTAAAAATAACCAGTTTATGTGAAATTTTCAAGTTTACGATGTTTTATTGCATTTTCTAGTAATAGATTCTAAAAGCCCCTAAAAAATACTTCATTTTAGCCCATTTGAACGTATCTGTAAGACCAATATTAACTGAGATAGCTATTGAATAAAATATAAACAATCACCCTGTAAACACCACATCAAGCAGGGCTGTACCAGATTCCAGATTTAATTTTGAGATTATTGGATTCACTGTGAATACATTGTTTTAGGTCATTTTTTCCGCGAGTTCGTTTCATTTATTTTATATCGAAGATATTTTCATCACTGATCAATTAAATTTTCGTTTTCATTTCGATATTTCCATATATGATGAAATGACTCTGCTCATATTTCTTATTTGGCGACTTTAATTTTTGAAATAAAAATATGCAAGCACCTCGGGAGCAAATTTGAAGGATCTGAAATTCAGTACTAAATTCTCAATTCTAGTACATTTTCTAAGTGCGATCTGGTACTATATTTCTTCGGTCAGGAACAGCCCCGACATCAACCTTCAAAATCAAAAACCGGCGAACCCTGATCTGTAACACTCCACCCCGGCCCAACCCCCTTAGTCGCTGTCCTCGTCGCCCGGCCTATCGAACCCCGACAAATCGACGGCGGCCAGATGGCCCTTCATCAGCGCGTACTCGATGAGCGCCAGATGGCAGAACACGTACTGGTCGGGCATCTGGATCGAGTAGGCGCGCTGCGACCTTATCCGCTCGACGGTGCCTCGGATATCCGCCGAACCGACGTCCTCTAGCCTCGATATGCATATGTCGAGGGTGCAGAAGGTACCTTGAAACGATGATCGACATTCAAAGCTAAATAGATTAATGATTCAAGGAGGAAATTGTTTTACTACTGTCAAATGTACGCCCATAACCTCAGAAACCTACAATAATCTATGAGTCTTCATCCATTTATGCAACCAATCACTTCGAAGTTTCCAAATCACGTTGGTACGTACCCACACCTACGGTCTAACGTTCACCAAAGTACACGTCCCAACAACCAAAACCTGCAATTACCCTTAATCTATTCTTCTAGGCCCCGCCCTCAAAGACAAGCCGAGCGCCACACCCCCCGTCGGTACCTTAAACGATTATCTACATTTGAAGCAGAACATATGATCGATAGTTCAAGGGGGAAACCATTTCACTACTGTAAAATATATGCCCAGGACCTCAAAAATCAGCAATACCTATGGGTCTTCATCCATTTATGGATCCAATCACTTCGGAGTTGTTTTTAATAACGTTGGTTCCCAACAGAACTCACCCACCATCCAACGGTCACTCAAGTACACGTCACAACAACCAAAACCTGCAATTACCCTTGATATATTCTTCTAGGCCCCGCCCTCAAAGATCAGCCGGGTGCCACACCCCCCCGTCGGTCAAACCTGCCCCAATATCTACTACTAGGCAGGCATCTGGGTCGAGTAGGCGTAACCTCGATATGCATATGTCGAGGGTGCCGATGGTACCTTGAAACGATGATTGACATTTAAATCACCCAACAAAACACACCCACCGTCCAACGGTCACTTGAGTACACTCAACAACCAGAACCTGTAATTACCCGCAATATATTCTTCTAGGTCCCGACCTCAAAGAACAGCCTGGTGCCACACTCCCCGTCAGTCGAACCTGCCATAACATCTATAGTATAAAATACCTATATTGAGAAGTGCACAGTGATTCAATACTATCGGGAGTTGAATTGAAACAGTTGTCAGTACTTCTAAAACCTACGCTATAACCTGTAGTCCATTATCTATTATTTATGAACTAGTCATTCTGAAAACTTCAGTCTTCCACATACACGTACCAACACCCTGGACATTCAATGACATTGAGACCCATCTTTACACCATAGACACCACAACTCATCCCCTCTGAAGACATATTCCCATGTCATGGCCATCAGTAGTTGACAACCTTCAGCCTATCAAGTCTGGGCTCCTAAGCCTCAGGATCCAAGCACCGCCTCCATCCCATTAGGCTCCGCCCTCTACAAATACACGACCCCATACCTACTACCTCAATATCTATGCACTAATTCTCGAGACAGCAATGAAACATTTGAATAAGTGAGCATAAGATTTCATTCACAATCGATTAGTGCTGTGAACTTTAGTTTATTTTTCAAATATTCTGGAACTTCATGCTCTTCTTAGGCTCGATGATCTCATATTTGTTCAACTACCTAGATGTTTTAATGGAAGATGAAATGTCGCATCTAGAGAAGAGGCATGCTTGTGTTTTGTTTGCATTGAAATCTACCAAGTTATTGGATCCCCATTCGAGAATTGTTGCCAGGTCCATATTTATGTTGTTCTCCCTCGTTCGTTTCTGGTTTTCCTGGATGGTATTACAGCCCTGGAAGAGAAGGCGAAATGGAGGGTACTATCATCCGCGAAGCTGTGTACTGGACATGAAGTTGCTTCCAACAAATCTTTGATATGGAGTAGAAATAGTGTTGGTGCTAGAATTGATCCTTGTGGAACACCAGCATTTATGATAAGAGAGTCAGATGAAACTCCGTCGACCACTACATGGAGAGACCTGTTTGAGAGAAAACTAGCTAGCAGAGAACATAGCTGGGGAGGCAAGCCATAAGATGGAAGCTTGGCGAGGCGTCCGTGGTGCCAGACTCGATCGAACCCGATATAAATAATCAAGGATTTCATGGCATAATTTTGTCCAACTTTTCACTAAAAAATGAACCAAATCAGAAAGTAAACTCGACTCACCTGTCCGCCCTATGCCGGCGCTACAATGCACGACGATGGGCGGCCCTCTCGGGTGCCCCGCCCAAGTGTCTCCGAGCTCGACCACCATGCTGGCCTGTTTTCGACGAACTCTCTCGAGGAATTCCAACATCGCCTTGGCAGAATGCGGCACCCCGTAATCGGGCCACGAGGTGAATTGCCAATGTGACACTTCCCTAGTTTCCTCGGTCTTGAAAGAAAAAACAGAAGGATGATTTAGATAAATTATAGGTCTTCTGCATCTAGCAATGAAAGTAGAAAAGTGATCACTTTGCTTGTTTTCCATGGAGAGTACAGAATGTATTTTCCACAATGATAACTGATTAATCTGTGCCCAAGCACAGTTAATCAATTATTTTTGGATGTATGACAAATTGATATTCATCATAAAGGACGTAGAAAGAAATTCTGAATTGAGAAAACCCAATCACGAATCTGTGAATGATTTTTTTTTGAAGTTCCAAGCTCATCAAGATCAGAGTTTATACAAGTATACTTCTCCTATACATTTCAATTTTCATTTCAATACTGAACATATTGGTTAGTTATATTTTTATATCATACATCATATTATTCAACAGATTTGAGATATGATTATCAATTCTCAATTTCAGGGGATTTTTATTTTTCATGCTCTCCTTTTGGATGTTCAACAGATATAATTCAATGCTGGATGTGGCAAATTGCCTAGAAAGTAGTTATTTTCTGTTGAATATTCAGAATGATATTATGTGCATATACATATTTTTATCTTAAGGAGAATGCAAATTCTCAACTCCAGAAGATTTTGTTTTCAAATTCTTATCGTGTGTGTTCAATAGATAATTCAATGTTTGTCGTGGCATATATCAAGGAAAGTAGTTGTTTTCTGTTGAATAAACCGAGAAAGAATTGATACTTCTCACATAGAGAATGTGAATTCTCAATGTATTTCTTTATATACATATCCATTTTTTCATGTTCATAATGTATCTGAGAATATTCCTTTTTAATCAATTATTAAAAAAGTAAGTAAAATAAGTAGCGATTGACGAAATTGTTTACGTCTAACCATCAATTCATGAGAAACATTCTAAGTCACGATTTGCCTAAGGAATTAGGTAGAACAAGGGCTTTGTGTGCTAAATTCAATGATACCTTGTTATTTATTTCAATTTTATTGACAATTTTGTTAATCTTTATTGCTTTGAGCCGAAAAGTTTAATAGCAAGAGATGTTTGAACAAGACATTACGCACATCAGACGCACATAAAGTAATTATAGCTCATCTGTATTATATATTCAAATAGATAATTCAGTCAGACAGTTTTCTATGTTTATTTATTATTCAGTCCGTTCACATCTCATTTACCATGACTACCATTCAGCACACTATAATAATATTCCATAGAGTATTCTATATAGTGTGATTATTATACAACATGCCCCTTTCATAAAAATCAAGGAGTCAAATAACAATAAACAATTCAATGTGATCATTATACAACATGCCCCTTCTATAAAAATCGAGGAGGAGTCAAAATAACAATCAAATGACACAAAATCTCATCCATCTTGAAGACAACTCTTCATTGGATCAGTACACGAAGTCTCTCAAGGTAGAAGGTATCTTCAGTATTCGACCTCTAGAAGACATCCGAACATTCTCTCTTCCTTGTATCATCTCGTTTTTTTCTGTGGATCCGTTTCTCGGCATCAATGCTGCTTCTTCTGAGTGTTCTCTGCCGCCCCCGGAGCTTCTATTCTTCCTCGGACTGCCTCTTGTAATTTCCGGTACATCGGGAATGGTTGTTGGAAAATCTTCTGAGGATGATGAACTTGAATGATAGTTATCGAACTATTCAGACTCTTTGGAGGTGTGAGCTAACACGCATCGTTTGGGAGAGATTGGGACGGTTTGAGTTCGATCATCAGTTTTATTTGTTGAGACTGGTTTCAAATTTATTCGATTCCTTCTGTATGTTCCGCCATCATTAGTTTCAACGAGATAGCTTTCAGGTTGGCGATGAGGACTGATAATCCTTCCAGGTATCCAATTTCGAATTCCTTTCTGCATCATCACTGGTTGATCATGTTGTAAAGGTGGTAATCGTTGAGCATTTTTATTATAGTACGATGAAGATGAAGTTTGATTATTCTTCAAAATTATCAAGTTCCTGTTAGTCTCAAAATTTGGCTTCAATATCCTTCTAGAAACTGGTAGTGTCGTGTTGAATTTTCTTCCCATCAGCATCTCAGCAGGAGAGGGTAAATTAGCTTTTGATGTACTATTATATTCCATTGTTACCAGATAAGGATTTTTGTGTGGGCATTTCAACAACATGTTTTTCAACGTTTGAATATGTCTTTCTATCAATCCGTTCGATTGAGAATAAGTGGGACTAGATGTTACATGTCGTATATCAAGGTCTTTCAGGAAATTGATGAACAAATAAGAACCGAAAGGAGGACCATTATCAGACATAACAGTAGCTGGTAGTCCATGAGTTTGAATATAAAACATAATGCATCTATAACGGAGGCTGCATTTTTATTCTTCAATAATACTAATTCCATGAATTTTGAGTGATAATCACATAAAACAAGAAAATTATCCTCATTCACCTGCATGAAATCAATTCCAATTTTCTCCCATGGTAATTCAGGAACTGGATGGGGGTGTAGTGGTTGTTTTTTATTCGATTTGGAGAATTGCAGGCATGTCAAACATCCAGATATCAAATCATGAATTTGTTTATTTATATTAGGCCAAAAAACTGAATCTTGGGCTTTTTTCTGACAAGCAATAATTCCTTGATGTGTTGAATGCAATCTTCCAGACAGTTTTCTATGTTTATTTATTATTCAGTCCGTTCACATCTCATTTACCATGACTACCATTCAGCACACTATAATCATATTCCATAGAGTATTCTATATAGTGTGATCATTATACAACAATCTGTACCTTGCAATTACAAAATATGAATGCACAAATAGAAAAGCTATTATTACCCGAATATCGCGAAATGCGTAGGAAAAGTCACTAGGCATTATGCTGATTTCACCAATTTGGTGTATCTCTACCGTAGTGATGTTATAGATGAATTTTGACTGAGCATTAGGAAAATTAAGTTTTTCTATGAGTTGATAAAAATGGCTGTAATTAATATTTTGAGCTTTCACCACATCATCTGATACTGATCATAGGTTCCCATCCTTCAATCTGTGGTGTAATAATGATTCACTATAGTCTGTCTGTCTACCATTATTACTGCATGTATATAGCACTTATGGCAGTAACTCATTGAGACTCAGTTCAGAAAGAAACGAGACGAAATAGTAGTTTACCATCAAGTGCGGAAAGTGACACGCGATTGCAGATGGCCGAACGACGCGTCAGTGGAGTTCGGCTAGCAATCAAATCAATTATCTGGGGGTTTTTGGGGTCGGATTATGATTCTTTCGTCAGAATTTGAAAATTCGGTTGGAATTTGGAAATTCAAGATGGCGGAACCAATATGGCGGACGAGTTTTGTAATTATGTTCCGATTCTATTGACATACCTCGTTGGTCCCAGCACTGGGACCAAACGCCCCATAAGTCGAAACTTGTGCGGAGTTAGGTTTACATACAAACACAAACATCCATGGCCTAACTAGGATTCGAACCTATGTCTCGGTGGGAGTCCCCATACGAACTCAGCGCCTTCACGCTCTCGACCACCGAGCCGAGTCCTAATTTGATGTTTTGACTTTGTGCTTTTCTCATTGAATATGAACAATTATCACTCCACTTTGAGCTACAATAGACTTCTTCCAACGTTCCATACTCACTTTATTATTCGTAAGACTAATGGTGGTGACGGTGTAGTCGGTGTCCGTTTCGACGGCGAGCGTCTTGACGGTGAACTGTCCGTAGACGGCCTCGCCGTCCGCCTCGGGCTCCCAGTACTGGTGGCACTTCGGCCTGCCCCGCTCCATCGCCCTGGTCGTCATCACTATCACCAGCGAGTGCTGCTCCCATATCATGCGCCAGAAGTCGGCAGTCGTCTTCGGAAGGGGACCTACACGATGAGACATTTTGGTTGATTCTGTTCGGATCTTGTTATAACTAGAGTCACTGGATATTAGTTTGATAAGAGTTCGGACACAGAAATGACAACAGTTAGGGTTTTTGAATGTTTAGATTCATAAAGTTACACACCTTGCATTGTGACAAGAGCACCATAGTCGTCCCGCGCTTTCTCATTCAAAATTTTTTGAATTTGACAATTTATTTTATAAACGTCAGAATTGAAATGACATTTCATAATTATTATACTTTCGAGATAAAAGCAGCTATGGAAATCACTTGCTGTATAATAAATTGTGCCAATTTTGAAACAAATGGATATCATTTATCGATTTTTCAAATCAAATATCAAGCATTCGCTTATGGAAGGAGGATATGAAACGGCCTGGGTGGAAAATCAATTTGAAGACGAGCGAAATTTGTGAGGTACTCATTGAAATTCACTTCTTATAACAACATCTGATTAGAATGAATCTATATTTTAGGCCCATTTTCAAACAGAAGATTTCAAATTCTGTTTGAGAGAATCTGCTGTTCCATCAATTTACAAAGCAGACAATTTCAAGAACAAAATTCCATTATTATCATCACACAAAATACAAAACAAAATAATCATGGAAAAAGGGGAAATGATCGCGAAATTACAATATGAAATTGAAAATTTCAAAACGAAACTAAGAAAAGCAAGTAAACTACAACGTCATATATTATTGAATGGCGTTTTTGGTGCTGACCGCGAATTCAAAATTGAACAGTGAAAAGTGAATAGATATTTATGTATCAAGGGAATTATTATAAGGGCCTTAATTACGCTGGAGGTTATCGTTTTGGAGATATTTTCAATATCGATCCATGTTACTTAGCTCCTAGGGTGCTAAGTGAAGTTGCTGAGTACTTAACAAAACCAAGTATTTGGTAGGTCTTTATCGAAAAATGATTTGTTCTCTGTATTTCAACACCCTGTATCTCCGAAATGAAGCATTTCCAGACACAAGCTTATATATAGACTTTATTTCTTAAAATTGTCTCAGGAATATTTCACTGGAGTACAGTTTCACATACAATAAGGAATTATAGCTATGAGTTCATCCATATGTATATATTATCTGATATCAGAATGTTGTTACATGCATTTTTTTCATTTATATAAATCTTGCTCTGCTAGAAGTGTATCACTATGAATTGAAGTGGGTGTTTGTACCCTATACCCGGTGTCCATCTACGGCTATGATTGATTTGACAGAAAATATAACCTCTAAAATCGTATCTGACAATCAGGCGCCACTAGGGAAATTGAAAAGACAAAGAGCAGAATATATGTCTTATTCTTTCATTCACTTAAACCATTGTATTATAGAAAATAGAAAAGGACAAAGGTTCAGCTGTGTCCGAACTCTTATCAAACTAATACCATCCAGTGACTCTAGTTATAACATTGCTAGAGAGCATAACAATAATGTTATGATCATAACATATTTTATTTTTTCATTTATTTGAAGTACACCACTTAATATAATAGGATTCCAAGTGGTACATCTATAATAATATTATAAAGAGGAAAGATTTGATTGTTTGTTTGTTTGTATGTATTGAATAGGCTCCGAAACTTCTGGATCGATTTGGCTGAAAATTGGTGGGGAAGTAGCTTAGAACCAGGAGATGGTTATAGGCTACTTTTTATCCCGGTACCATTAAGAACTCCAAGATGGCGAATTTATTATTTCTGACGAGTTTTGTAAATATGGTCCGATTCTATTCGAAATTGCTATCTGGGGGTTTTCTGGGTCGGAGATTATGATTCTTTCGTCAAAATTTGAAAATTTGGGCGGAATTTGTAAATTCAAAATGGCGGACGAGTTTTGTAATTATAATCCGACTCTTTTCAACATTGGTACCAAGGGGTTATCATGATCGGAGATTATAATCCCTCCGTCAAAATTAAGAAATCCAAGATAGCGGATCCAAACTGGCGGATTTCATAATAAGGATCCGATTTTATTCAAATTTAGTATCTGGTGGTTCTCGGGTTCAAAGATTATGATTGTTTCGTCAAAATTAGGAAATTCAAGATGGCGGACCCAATATGGCGGACGAGTATTGTAATTATGATCCGGCTCTCTTCAAAATTGTTATCTGGCTGTTTTCGGCGTCGGAAATTATGATTTTTTTGTCAAAATTTGAAAAGGGCGGGATTTGGAAATTCAAAACGGTGGAACCAATATACCGGACGAGTTTTGTAATTTTATACCGAATCTATTCAAAATTTGTAAGTGGGCGTTTTCGGGATCAAAAATTATGATTCCTTCGTCAAAATTAGGGAATTCAAGATGGTAGATCCAATATTGTGAACGAGTTTTGTAACTATGTTTCGATTCTATTCAGAATTTTCATCTGGAGTTTTAGGAGTCGGATATTATTATTCCTTCGTCAAAATTGGGAAATTCAAGTGAACTAAAAAGAAGTTGAAATAAATGGTAGTTTGAAAAACTAAAGAAACACGCTTTTATAGATAGGGAAACTAAAAAGGAGTAGAAAATTAAATAATAATAGTGTCTTGAGGAGTATTGAACTGAAAAAATATATTATGGAAATAATGTATATAGCAAAACGACGTTTGCGAGCCTACTTAGTATAAAGTAACAAAAAACATTAAACATTTTGAAATCATAAAAAAATAGTAAACGGACAATAGTAATTATAATGGTTAGATACTTTCACACAAGATACAAAATACATATAAAACTGTGTATGTACAAATTCAGACTGCAGCTTCAAAGTTGCCTGTGATTTAAGGCGACTCAGTGAAATATTGAAAATATCAAGGAAAAAAAATGCTCATTCTATTGTAAGTTTAGATGTGAATGCAGTGCTGTCATAATTAATTCGGTGATTTTGCAGGTAGAAAAACTATCTGTTTCTAGTATTCCTAGGATTAGTATTGACGAAAAATGTTTTCAGGATGTCAGAGCAAGTTTGCGCCATCAAGTTTTAGAATTCTTTGGAAAACATGGAAAACCATTGTTTTAGCTATTGAATTGAGTGATTTTGTAAAACAAAATTTTTCATATATCTGAAATCACTATTAATAATGAATCAACTTACCGTATCACTATAAAATGACAGCATATAAGTAAGACTAGTAAATTTTCCTCATTTTTAGAAGAAAATTTTGACAACATACATAAGACTGATATGTTAGCGCTACATGATTTCATGTTTCGAAGGATTTTGGGTAAACCTCATCATTTGTGAAGTTTGTTTTACAAAAGCTATATGCTTACCAAATATTCGAAAATAATCGATCATATTACTATTTATTTTGTTCTGTAATGGAGAATTATGAGAAAATTGGTAAAATTTTCAACACCCTTGACTTTCAACTGCTCATTTATAAACAATTATATAATGACACGTTCGATAGATATTTTTGAAGGTGTTCAGGGAGAGATTTACCTTGTGTGTTGATGAACGCATTTTTCTGTTTGTATCCATCCACGAAATTGGCGTGGATGTAATCACTATCTTTGTCGTTGTCCAGTTCGGACAAAATAACTCTACTATGGTCATAACACAGCACATCAGTATACCTATTTTTAGGAAGGTTATTCTTCGATTTGGCTACGTTGAAGGTTCCGTCAGGCGGTCTAGACCTGAAAAAGATAAATATAATGATGTGTGATACTTCTGAAAAATAAAAATAATATAATTTCTAGATTGATGAATCCACTCAATTGTTGAGAAGGTTTTGATAAACAATGGTGATTAATTGTTTCGCCTTTGGATGCAAGAACGAGCAAGACAAAAGGAAATTGTCATTCCATGAGTAAGTTGAATATTGTTCAGATTTTTGGAAAATATAGTTCTTGAAATGATCTTCAGTTAGGTGTACAATGTTCCCAGTCTCAGAATATATTTAAAAACTATACCTATATTATTTGTCAAAGTAAAATACTTCCATGACTTTTCCTTAAACATATTATTAAGTAATATTATTTGTTGCAGTTTTCCATTGAATTATGGATTAAGGCAGTTCGTAGAGAGAGTTGGACTCCATCAAAAACCAGCAAGCTTTGTGGAGAGCATTTCCTGCCAACTGATTATTTATTTAGACATACCAGGTACTGCTAGGTTATTGAAACCAGATGCTGTACCCAGTATATTTCTATTTCCTAAGCATTTGTTACCAAAAAATACTGATCCTTGAAGAAAAATAAGAAAACTCATAGGAACCTAGTTGATTAATAATGGAAAAAAAAGTATGATTGCACCTCTTTAAAATAAAAAACTAGCTATAGTAATTTATTTTCAGGATGCATCTGTGGAAGTTCATAACATTGGGTCCTAAGGAAGATGTTTCTCATATTATGGACTTTACCTATGACTTTCAGCTCCCAAGTTTCGAAGTTCATCAATAAAGAAACCCAAACTGTTCCTTTGCAGAAGGATATTGTATTGAGAATTCTATTTTTTCAATTTCTAATAGGGATATGTTTGTAGGCAGTGACCTAATGGTTAAATAGGAACCTATGGAAATTATGCTCAAAATGGACCTTATAGGTAGTCAATACCATTCAAGAACCTCTTTTCAAATTTTTCCTATCGTTTTTCTTTATTGTGACATTTGAATGAAAATACTTGACTTGACTATTTGACTTCCTAATCCTGTAAGAATAAAAATGAAATTTCATTTTTAAGTCAATGAAAAAATCAATGATAATTTTTCAATGATAATTGACTGCAACATTTTCCTTCTTCCTATATGAATATTTTTATTTAATCACGTTTACTCTTAAATAAAAGCAAAAAACGAGAAAATACTTCGAATAATGCGAGCGCTTCCCATTAGCCAACATAAGATAGAAAGAGATAGGTATCCGTAAACACTGTGCAATGCCTGAAAAATATTTTTGCCTCACTCGTCGTTCACAGACTCCCTTCCAGTTGTTTATATTGAGTTCATTGCCAGGGAGACACCCCAAATATACACATATACTGTATATCAGTTCAACCGAATAAACATAGATGCCACACCTGTCGTGCATTTCGCGAGAACGGCCCTGCCACTGACCTGATCTCGGCGTACTCTTGCACGAGCCCCGCCCGACCCCTGTCGCGCGCCCCCTCCACCAGCTGGGCGGCCGTCACCGCCTGCGCGTCGCCGGGCAGCGAGTCGTCGTCGGAGAAGCCGCTCGACGCGCTGCTGGGCGGGTGCGGGGCGGCGTGCACCTCGTCCGCCGTCCACCCGTCCGCCGCGTGGCCGGCGCCGGTGGTGATGGCCGAGATGTCGGAGTGCTTCTGCGGCGAGGGGGTCTTCCCATCTGCAATAATAATAATAATAATAATAATAATAATATCCACAGACACAATCAGGGTCCCCGCTGCCATATGCGCAAAGTGTGCAATGCACACGGGCGCCATCCTTTAGGGGCGCCAAAACCCAGGGTCAATAGCTATTTATATATCGAAGGAGCAAAGGTTTATGTTTATGCTGTTTATGCTTGTTGGCGAAAAAGTTTTGCCTAACGGTGGACTTGAAGTTTTCGCGTTTGAGCTTCATGCTATGGCCTCTCAGCCTGGGGTCAGTGTTCAGCTCAAAAATATGCTGCATGTCAATGGAGAATGTATCGTGCAGTATGCGGTATGTCAGAATAGCATCTCCTCTGGCTCGTCTTTCTTTGAGAAATGGAATCTTCAATCGGGTTAATCTATCTTCGTAAGATAAGTGCCTGAGTGAGGGTACCATTCGGGTGGCAAGACGTTGAGTTCTCTCTAAAAGTTGGATGTCTTTCACTAGGTGTGGGGACCATATTTGAACACCATACTCTAGTAGAGGACGTATATACGACTTGTATAGTTGACCAAATAGTTGGGGATTAGGATTGGTGAAACACTTGCGCAGTAGATAGATGCGACTATTTGCTTTGTGTACAACATCTGTTACATGACTCGACCAGGAGAGTTTTTTGTTGATGGTGATACTTAGATCACGTTGTTCATCCACGGATGGTACTGTATTGTTGAATAAACGGTAGTTGAGGGATGGATTGTTGTTACCAAGATGTAGCACACAACATTGGCTGTCGTTCAAGGGGATGTCCCAATCAGAGCACCATTGTTCTAGGTAAGCAAGATCGGTTTGTAGCTGAGCATGACTGGTTGCTGGATTTCCAAAAAATTTACTGTCATCGGCGAAAAATAAATGGTCCGAAGAGATGACATTTTTCAAGTCTGAGGCATATAATAGAAACAACGTCGGTCCAAGGACAGATCCCTGAGGCACCCCTGATAGGACATCGTAGTAATTTGAAAATGAAGAACCAACTCTGACTCTGTACTTCCTATTGCTGAGGAATCCATCTATCCACTTCAAGAGGGCGCCCCGAACTCCAAAATGTTCGAGTTTGAAAACAAGTTTATTCTTGGGTACCTTGTCGAAGGCTCTAGAGAAGTCCAGATAAATAATGTCTACTGGAGCTGAAGAGTCTAGAGCTCTCGTCCAATTGTCTAGGCAGCAAAGTAGATTTGTTGTTGTAGATCTTCCAGGAAGAAATCCATGTTGAGCTGGAGGTATCGTGTCATTTTCAATGAGAAATGGTAGAAGTTGATCTAAAATTATCCTTTCCATAATTTTGGCACATATAGGTACTAAGCTGATGGGCCTGTAATTGTTGGGATCTAGTTTATCACCTTTCTTGTAAATAGGTGTTACAGATGCCGAGAGCCAGGCAGAAGGAAGAGAGTAATGCGCAAAGGAATATTCGAAAATGTGGCTAAGTGGAAGAGACAGGGCTGTAGCATATCTCTTTAGGATATAGGGCGAAATGTTGTCTGGGCCAGGTGATGTGGTTGGTTTCAAATCCTGTAATGTTACATGATCTAAGATTTTACATGATCTGAGGTTACAGAACGCAAATCAATTTGACATTGACACTTCTGTCACATTGAAATAGTTTATTGTGATGTTGTTTATATTGAGTTCATTGCTAGTTAGTAATTACGTCAGTGATTCTCACCGTATTGCGACAAGGGCGATTCCGGCCCCGAGCTAGTCATTGACAGCAGACAGTGCGACAGCCAGCCATTGTGGTCCAGGACGAGCGTGCCGCCCAGCCTGGTGGGCAGCGATTCGCGCGGGATGTGGCTCGACAGCTGCGCCACCGACACCGTGTAGACGCGTTCGCGCAGCTTCTCGCGCACGAACAGCCGCAGGATCTTGAAGGGGGCCTTGAACCACAGCGGCGCCGTCACTATGAGGACCTTCTTCAGCTTAGCGGGGTAACCGCCCTGGAAAAAAAATAAGAGAACATGGAAATTTAGCCCACAAGAACTCGACAATATAGACAATAGACAATTTATTCACAACATGAAAATGTTTACATAATAGATTGTAGATGGGTCGTATAGGCTGAGAGACCTCTCGATCACTGCGACATAGAAGATCTATTGTGATTACCCCTATCTAGTTTTGGTCCTCTAACCCTAGACTTCTGATGAATCCTACGATTTTCCTGACGGTTGACTTTTCCACTTCAGCAGGGGTGAGATAGACCTGTTCTAGGTGGTTCAGCCTTTGGCACATAATAATATATCGTATAAACGTAATAGGAGAGTGAATATATATCGCTTAATCTACGAGGTATATTATAGTATGTGTACCATAATACGGCATACATACCTGTGTGTAGAGCGAAAAAGGTTAGTAATAAAGAGGTACATATAAATATTCAAAAAGAGACCTACACATACAGTGTGACCCACTTCTAATGGAAACATCTTACGTAATAGTCCGGAAAATGATATTAGGAGTTGAAATAGGTCGAAAATCACTTCAGATTCGGAATCAGGACACCCTAATCACTATTTATATTTTTCCTGGAAAATTTTCATTTCTTAAAAATTAAATTTTGTCGCACTCTTTACGGAAGCACCCCCGTATCTTACGTAATTGACTTTATCTTTGGACTTTCTCTTCCTCCTGGAAATCACAGCACCCTACCCCAACAATTACTAGATATGTTACTTTTCTGTTTACAAAAATTACATAATGATTTGACGTCGTAGATTTATTTCATTATCCTTTCTTGGAATTCGTATAGTATAAAATAGATCTGAATTTTTGACAGGGTGTTTACTGCTGAAGTAAAAATCGACCTGGCAACCTTGGTCCACGCGGAGAGTGAGTTGACAACTATCATTCGCTGTTGTCAAATTAATTATGCACGAAATTCGATTGATTTCACGTGTGACCTCTGAGGTGTGTTTGAGGTCGACGAAAAAATGTAATATGCACCTCGGCGAAAAACTGCCTATTGTCTCGACTGATTGCTAGCCTCGGCTAAGGACTCGGTTATCAATTTGGAGACTCGACTATAATAGACAGATTTTCGTCCTTGGTACATAAATAACTATTTTTCCACCACTACCTATGAAACCTACCATTATTTACTTCTTTTCGAGGCGTAAAGTGTGTTTTTACTACCAAGGTAGTTTTCGTCATTTTATTAACCACTAGTCAATAAAGACATAGCCACCTCTGTTATAATTAACCCGAAATCACTATTCTGATGCGAGATTCGTATTGATGGCACTGGAATCTATACAGGGTGAGTCATTGAAACGGGAAAGTGAGATAACGACTTCGCTGTTTGAGATAGATAAACAAAAATTATTGTGATGGTCTAGGCTCATGAGCAACACATTCCCAAAATATTTCGCGTTATACAGGGTGACTCAAAAATGTGTGACGTATCAAAGTTATACTTTTTTTATAGGACACCCTGTATTTTATTGCATTTTCGGGTTCTCCTTTGTGAGCTGATTTCTTCAATGCATCACACTTTGGATCTAGCGAGAATGATTACAAGGATATAGGGTGTTCAAAATCGAGATTTTTCAACTTAAGGATTTTTTTGGGTCGAAACTATTCATGATTGGTCAAAACGGCTTACATGTCCCTACCTTGACTTTTGATTTACTATCTACCGATATCTAATTTGAACGAATACAGAGTGGTTCATAATTCTGAATTTTGAAATACCCTGTATTCGTCCAAATTAAATATCAGTAGACATGTGAGCCGTTCTGACCAATAATCAATAGTTTTGACACAAAAAAAATCTAAAGTTGAAAAATCTCGATTTTGAACACCCTATATCTCTGTAATCATTCCCGATAGATCCCTAGTGTGATGCATTGATGAAATAAGCTCACAAAGGAGAATCCGAGAATGCAATAAAATACAGGGTGTCCTATAATAAGAAGTATAACTTTGATACGCCACGTATATTAGAGTCACCCTGTATAACACGAAATATTTTGGAAATAAGCTGCTCATGAGCCTAGGGCCTAGACCATCACAACAATTTTTATTCATCTATCTCAAACAGCGAAGCCGTTATCTCACTTTCCTATTTCAATGACTCACCCTGTATAGTGGGTATTCATCATCAATAACGACTTGTCATATGTTGTCATGGTCATGGCGGAGAATTGAAAATAAATGCTATCATAGTGACAATAGGTCAATATTTTGGTTGGGTAATGATATTCTTTACTACCTCGGTGTATAAATAACTATTTCCGTCGACCTCGTATTAACGACTAAGTTTAATGTATATGAAATCGTTCATTAATGACCCCTATTAATAAACGATTTGTCTATTAATGCACGATTGTTTTATAGGCAACCAAACATACACCGCGTATTCATTGTTTATGCTATAATTTACGGAATATGCATTTAAATCGAAAATATGGATTTCATCGACGATTTTCCGTTAACGGGTTCGCCTTTCCAAGTTTTTGACACGATTTTAATCCCTGTTTTCTAACACAAGGAATTTATTTCCTATGTTGATCATTTCGACAAATGTCAAATGTCACTAATGTCAGTAACAAGGCTACTGGGTGTTTCTTAGCAGTTTCCGGATGGATGATGAATTCGCGAACCAAGTTTTCTTCATTGCAGGAGAAATGAGAAATATAGTCGACGGAAAAAATTTGTAACCAACTTGTATATTAAAAGGCGATTAATACACTAGTTGGTTAAATACCTATTTCACTTCCGTGATTACCTACATTCTTATTTTTTTCCTCGCTATATCTCAATTGATGACAGCGTGGGAGCGAGAATATGAGAGTCAAGAGTCAAACACTGATTGAATAAAAATATCGTAGAGTGCCAGGAAACATCTCTTAATTTAGAGAACGTCAACCCTGGCTACATAAAATTATCTGTCTCCCTCAGACAAAAATATATGACGGCGTCATCATGAGGGTTAGCGTATTAATTGACAAGAACACTATTACGAAGAGCTATGACTCACAGAGTTCTACATCCTTCCGGTTCGCAAGTCTGCACCTGGTTTCACTTACTTACCTAATTAAATCCTGAGGGGAATTGATTACGCCCCGGAAATGATGCCCAAGATGGAGAAAACCCAATATCACCGAATATTTATATCGGTATGCTCGTGGTTTAAGTCTAATGATGGACTTTATACAGGGTGTTTCAAAAAAACCTGACCCCCTCACTAGGGTAGGTAGAACACTGCAAAATAAGTTGGGTTTACTCAGTAAAAAAATTTCGTTACGGCATCCGTTATCAAGATACAAGGTGTTGAGAAAAGGATTTTTTTACACATTTTTCAAGATTATGTCGAAACTACTGGCAACATTGTGATGAAATTTTGTATGGATGTTTCTTGGAATCTGACACATCGCATACCTTTGTTTCTATATCTGACTCTCATAGAGGGCGCTAGTTACACGGTTCGTACCGAGTAGTTATGAACATAACTTTTTTGAGGTTAGATTTTTCAATCCAAATTTGATGTGAACTTGAACATCATTCAATTTCACACCTAAAAGGTACTCTTGGTAAAACTCGATACTGTGTTCCGTTTTCGAAATATTTCGATTAGAAAATGATCATGTGATAACTGTTGCTGGTATAAAGCTATGTAATAGAGCGAGTATTATGAAAAATTATCACCTATTTATTGAAAACCGAAAACAGCAATATATTTCTGATGCTAAACCTATTGATTTAACAATGAATCACAAGAATAACATCGAAACAGATTTGACTAAGAACATGGATTACACAGTTTTGTTGTATCTTGAGCAGAAAGTCTATGCTACATAGGTAAATTCACGTCAAGAGTTGTGAGACATAATTGAACATTGAACATCACTTAAATGACCTAACACCTGATCCTCAACTGTTTAGAAGAATAATACATTCTTAAGAAAAGAATATAGAATCGTGTATTCGTCGAAACGTAGGACATTTTGAACACTTATACTCTAACTGATTCAATATTTCATGTTTCTTGTCAAATATCTCTTAATTTTCTACTTATGATTCTTTGTTCCATCAATAACTTCAGCACAAGAATGATCCTATTGTTTTTGAATCTGAATAAATAGGTAATTGAACTCAATAAAATTCATTTTATACCACAGCATCAATACTACTCCAATATTTTCAAATCAAAATATTCCGAAAACGGAACATAGTATCGAGTTTCACCAAGAGTTCCTTTTTGGTGTAAAATTGAATGAGGTTCAAGTTCATATCATATTTGGATTGGGAAATCTAACCTCAAAAAAGTTATGTTCTAAACTACTCGGTACGAACCGTGTAACTAGCGCCCTCTATGAGAGTCAGATATAAAAACAAATGCATGCGATGTGTCAGATTTCAAGAAACATCCGTACAAAATTTCATCACAATGTTTCCAGTAGTTTCGACATAATCGTGAAAAATGTGTAAAAAAATAATTTCTTCAACACCTTGTATCATGGAAACGGATGCCGTTAAGACATTTTTTCACTGAGCAAACCCAACTTATTTAGCAGTGTTCTACCTACCCTAGCAAGGGGGTCAGGTTTTTTTGAAACACCCTGTATATGCATCCCAGCAATAATTCAATACCGTTAGTGTGAAATTTTCGAATATAGAGCCTCATACCTATTTACTGGATGAGGCAAAATACACTAGCGGATACAAGAGGAGGGGGCGGTATAAACCTATTTTCAGACTAATAGTTAGTTATACAAGGGAAAAAAGTAGATTTTAGCTCCAGGTTGTGCTGTCTCCCGACGAGTAGCGTGACCGTGACAGGAAAAAGGACGAATCAGTATTGGGAAGATATTACATTATATTGAAATCAGAAGATTATCGACGTGAAATTTGAAGTTATTGACAGGAATTACACCTGCGTTGCAGGCATCTTCATTATTCTTTTGAAGTAATCAAATATTTGTCAGTCTAATTCTGT